GCAAAGAGCACCTGGTGTATGTCGCTAACGCCTCGTTTGTAATGCCCGTCTAGGAACCATGACAGCTATACTTCGTTTCAGCTTCCGTCCGAGCGCAGCCAAAGGCTGAGGGACGGTTCGCAACTTCGAGAAGAGCATTCCTACGCACCACAAAGTAGTTCACAAAAGTAATTTCTTTTAAAATAACTGCTTTGTGCATAGAAACTGCACAATCTTCCAGATGTGCACTGCTGAGAATGATTTGCAACTAAAGGAATCAAATCTCTGAAGTTTATGTTTCTATTAATATTTGTAAATGCATGTGGTTTGGTGAAAACATGTATATCCGCTGGCAACACGTCTGCAGCGCTCGGTTTTTCTGTGTGATTTCGTTCCCGTAATCGCCGAATCATGTGCTTCGCTGCTTTCCTCACCGAGTCGCTTCAAAACGCCCTTTAGCAAAGGCACGTTTGGGCGTCAGGCGCGAGAGGTCGTGATGAATGTCTACTTTCAAATTCGGCAGGAGACGCGATCCGGCCGCGTCGTACCGCGAATGCATTGTCAAAGGGCACTTTTTAAACTTGTAGCAGACGAAATACTTGGCGAGCGCGGGCGGCGCGGCCGACCGGCGGCGCAGCGGAGTGATACAAAAGTGCAGGCGAGATCGCGTGACCTACTGCCGGCGTGTGATTGGCTCCGGCCGCACGTAGCTTTGGCTGCGCTCGGACGGAAGCTGAGACGAAGTATAGTGACGATGTTTGTCTCGCCTCCGGCCACCACGAGAGATTAGGGGAAGGAGGAACTCCCCTCTTCACAAGAATTCCTTTTGTGTAAGATTATAGATTAACCTGGTCACTCAAAATTCACACAAAAGCAGCCGCTTCGGTGGCTGGAACGACTAGGCCATCCTCACGACGTCAGCCTCACCGTAGTTTTGCTCGTCCCGAGACGAGCTACGTCACGATTGCGTTGGATGTCACATGCTCTCCGCTGGCTGCTCTCCGAGCGCTTGCCAGATTGGGCCGTTTATAACGAAAAATACAGCCACCAGGCTCAAAATACAAATGTGCGATTGTCATTTACGGATATTGTGGATCATATTCAACTTATGTTTGAACACGACGGGTGTATTTTAAATTTCGTTGAAGTATCCCTTTAAGCAACCGCGTTCGCAACCGCTTTGCGAACGCGGTTCAACCACCAGTGTGAATACGGCGTAAGCGCTGTACCAGCGCTACCGCGCCGCAGAAACAGCCTCGAGCCATTTTCTTCTTTCGCAGAATCTCCCGACGAATGGAATGGCCGGAGCTATCTCGGAGGCCATGCCCGAAGAGACCACGAGCAAAGGACCTTTTTCAGAAATCGCCGGATCGCGGTATTTGGGCAGAGAACGCGCGAACACACCACGAGCGCTGGGCACGAGCCTCGCTTCAAAGCATGCCATGGCAGTCATGGCCCCTCATGAGTCCGTGAAATGCGAACCTCTGTTCGTTAACATAAAACTACTACGAAGGTCCATATCAAACCATACGCTATCCTAACCTGTGCATGCGGGTAGAAACCGAAGGAGAGGAGAGCAGAGAGCGCGGGGACGCGATCGAAGCTAGCCGTTTTCGTCTCTGCTCACTGATGGAACGCGTTCGAACGCGAACGTCGGGCGCCAGCTTTCAAGGAGTAGGTTGTCGCCCGTGCAGAAAGACTGAAGTTCCCTCGATGCAAGTAGGCAGAGGTGGCATATACCAAAACTGACTGGCGAGATCGGTTTATTGTGCAAGCAGTGATGTGGTTGGTCCGCGTCATTTTGGAGCATGCTAAAAGTCACTTTTGAAGCAGCGAAGGAACTTTTGGAGCATGAGCGCACACTTCATTTTTATTCATACCTCTTAAAATATTATGTTAAGAGCACTGTGTCGGCCTGTCTGACAACTGAAAAGCAATGTCTACTTTACCTTCTCACTTACGTGCAACCCTTTGCTAGCATCGATTGTACAGCAGGAGTGATTCCCTCAATACAGAACTAGCAATTAGTTGCGTGGAGAAGCACCAGACACAGTAACAAGGAGATGACTGATGAAGCACAGCACGAACTGCTGTAAATGGTTATTTTAGGTACTGAATCCCACCAAATATTGTTAGACTAGAATAATTTTGAGCACTTAAATTAATGTTTCTTTCAAGTTCTAGAGGTCGTAATAAATTGCAATTTATAAATCAAATCAGAAAACAAGCATCACTTGTTATTTGATTATGAACATTAATTACATTTTATATGTAGCACTTCATAACAAAAATTGGCATGGGAACAATTAATATGCCTTCTAAAAAGCAATCCCATCGAACTAGTTAATGTACACCCCTTGGAAAAAGGTACCGCTTGAATATCGCAGCCCACAAGCCGAAGATGTTTTCCGAAATTGAGTCGCATCTCAAATCTGGAGGAGAGCTTTCCCCTTAGCACGCGGGTGCGCTGCGGCAAAGCAAGACACGAAAAATCGCGAAGTCTACTCCGCGGTTCTCGCTTCAATGCAGTACCCCACGGCACGGTGAGAAGCGCACTCAACGAAACTAACTAACCCGCCAGAACACACTATGAACATGAGAATTATTGCAAAACTTCCGGGTACTGTCGGTCCTTGATACGAAATGCAGACAGTGATTGATGGAAGCGGCATTTGACCTTTAGGAGCAGGTTGTGTAGCAGGCAAATTACTGGGTTGGAACAGTCACTGACGCTTTAAGAACAGATACCAACAACTGTTAGCACATCACATGAAAATACAAATGTGACTGCATCGCTAAACGAGTTCATCTTCGGTAATGACTGAGAGTTCCTCTGATACTGGAGCATATTACTCATTACCTTTTGAAATAAGAATAAAAAGGGCGCAGATGGAACACAGAACTTTCTTTTTAAGAAATAAGCCTCTGGTCAGAGTAGGTTCCTTTTACGATGGGTATTTAAGAAAATTGCTGAAAAATGAATCGCAGCACAACACCTCAGTCGTGATAAAGCCTCACTCCCTTTCTGCTGCTACACTTAGTAGCTTATTTAGCCTATAAATATAACTTCAGTAAAATGCCAGCAAAAACCAGCATATCTGCTAACACATCTATCAAAAACCGACCAATATCAAAACTTTATTATAAACTGAAAAAAAAAAAAAAATAGAATCAATGCTTACACTTGTGTTTCAAATCCGACACTGTTCTTTAGCGGCGTTAGAACCAGAGTTCGCTCGTCTTTCGATCGACAGCTACACGGGAACTACATTCACTAGCGTATGTCTTCAAACATGAACATAGACGCCTTGTGGATGTGTTTTGCGAGTGCAATGTGGTGTGAAGCTGTATGTAAAGGTACAACTCGTGGAAAGCAAGTGTTGCCGGTCTCGCAGCGTGTTCAAAGCTTTCTTGGCATGCCGAAGTGCTGTGCCTCTGTGCCTTCGCACGCTTGGATACCAATGAAAAATCGACGCCGTGCCGATGTGTTTTACAAGTGCAATGCGTGTGAAGCCGTATGTAAAGGTACAACTCGTTGAAAGCAAGTGTCGCCGGTCTCGTGGCGTGATCAAAGCTTCCTTGGCACGCCGAGTGCTGCATCTTTGTGCCTTCGCACGCTTGGATACAGATCAAGGATCCACGCTGCACCAAAGTTTCGAAGGTGCGCCACGTGCAGATGTCTTTAGATATGTCGGCCACGGAGTCCTGGATCGTCCAGCTGTTCCAGTGAGTTGCTACCAATAAAGGGGATGGGGGGGGGGGGGGGGGGGGGATCTTTACGTGCTCTTATGCACTATTAACCATGGCAATGTTCCAAATCTACTCTATGGACCACATGGGAGCACGAATAGAGCAACGCTGGAGCAAGGAGGGTTTTCGAAGGCAAAAGTACAAGACGGCGAGAATTAAAATCTTTGAAGCGCGGCCCACATGGTCGTGTGCAATCTATTGACCAATCACAATTAGGCGAGCCGCACTCAAACGTCAAGTGCAATTAAGTAGGTTGATAATGAGCCAGCACTGATCAGTGATGAGGAGCTGTTGTGCGCGATATTCTGTAAATCGTCTAACGATGAGACAAAGACTTACCTCCCTTCCCCCCACTTCCGTCGCTACTGGACGCTGGATCAAGCTCGTTTCTGAACCGCGAGTGCCGCAAGTATACAATCGTCGGAGTAAAGTAAGACGCCTGATCCAGAGGCACATACGGCTTCACACACATTGCACTCGCAAAACACATCCACACGCCGTCAATTCTTGATCGGTACCCAAGCGTGCGAAGGCAGACACAGCACAGGAAGCTTTGAACACGTCGCGAGACCGGCAAAACTTACTTTTGATGAGTTGTGCCTTTTTTCCTCCGGCACTGCGCTTTCGTAAAAATTTCCACGTGTTCGCAACGGCAAGTCTCGACGCTTACACGGGGTCTTAAAAAACTTCGGCGAATTACGACGAACGAGTAGAAAAAGTGTCTTTAGCACGCTGCCGCCGGCCTCTGCAACACTAGCAAAACGAGAAAAAACTGCATGCAAGATGGCCGTCCGGTGGCCACACTGTCGAGCAGCGATGTGCGATCCAGCAATTGCCATTGAGATCAGTGCCTACACCTCCTACACCGGTGGAGAAAAGTGTAGGACGGTGTACTTCAGGTCGTATCTGAATACACATATCGGAAGTACATTGTCCTACACTTTTCTGCACCGGTGCAGGAGGTGTAGGTAAATCTAACGCAGCTACCGTTGAACGTGCAAATCTAAAACTCGCACAAGCACAAACTAAAACAAGGTCATGGTGCATGCCTGTGCCTGATTGGTTTAGCCAATAACATACTCACTGGCAGACAACAAGCGCCGTGACATTGCGCTTTTGACGCTGCATGTTTGCATCCATCGTCACGTAGCGCTGGTTGCGCTATGTCATGTGTCCTCCATTGTGCAGAGATTCCACAGCTTCCAACAGCGGGCAGACTTTCGGAAAGGCTCTATTCACAGCAAGAAGATGCTTAAAGTAAAACATAGAGGTAAAAAGAAAATGCATTTATTTTGAGCCAGAAAAGTGGGAAGTTTTAATGCAGGCTGAAAACTAGCATTTGCAGGAAAAGAAGAATCTCAATGTTTGAGCAAATACTGCCTGATTGCTTCAGTGTCTCTTGCAAGCCATGAAGCATTCAGACGAATATTTTCCAGGGACTGCTGTACGGTGCGCTCGGTGCCTGGAAAGGGATTCTGGCTGAAGAATGACTGCAAAACAAAATGCAAAGCACGGTGAATGCTTCCTGGTGTGGCAGTGTGAGGCATTAAACAACCCTGCCTAGTCCGCTGATGGCAACAGAGTAGCTATCTGGATAATTTATTTCATACCACCACGTGTTCCGTCGCACGTGCCATGCAATACAAAACTTATGGCTTTCAGCGGGACAAACTGCATAGCTCTCCATAAACCTACCATCACCTCTCTCCACTAATACAGAATACAACACAGCATGTACACCATTAGCATAGTGAAATGTTCTTAGATACATGACTCTACCATGTGAGAATCGAATGAGAAAAAGTGCCAATATCATGTTTGCACTGTGCTTATGACTAACAGCACTGTGGACATTTTCTTGTCCCAGTGTCTTATGATATGACATTGCCACAAACCTAGAATACTCAACTACTATTCAATGTTCCAAATGTTGCCTCAATATCTTGAAATGACCTACTGTCTACTGCATGTCTTCTAAGTTTCATACTATGAAAGGGAACTTTCAATCTTACCAGATAAAACACAGGCGAATTTCAAGTAGGTGAGATTATGTACACTAAACACAAGAGTTGATACAGTTCCTTACTGATTTTATAAAACACACCTCTAATTAGACCAACTTGGAATTCTCATTTTCAACATAGCTTCAAGCCACTGATTCATGTTTTAGCTTCAGTGTGACCTGCCATTCTCGCTATGCTCAGAAAAAAGTGCAAAGGAAAATAGAAGTCCCAGAATGACTAAAGTAATGTGCATTGTCTCGGCTAGCCTAGTGGCACGTTTGCTTCCTTCTACAGGTAAAATCCCGTAAGGAGGCCCTCACCCCAAGGGATCGCCCATCCAGTTTTTCTGGCTAAATATCCCAAACATTAAAAATTCTGAAACATCACCCACCTACAATTCCACATGATGTCCCAAGATGTCCGAAATCACATAAACCGCGCAATCTGCGGTATTGATACATGTGGCAAACGAGTTTGCAATCTGCGCATGCAATATCGGTTCCCATGAAACGAAAGTTGTTCCCGTGTGTATATTGCATCGTGAAATGTGAATCCGCAGTGTCCACGATCTGCAGTATCAGTTCCCGTGGTTTGTAGCGGGTGCCCCGCTGTTCATCCCCAATTTTTCATAAAATTGTGATGTCGCATAATTAATTAGAAAGGCCACTGCTACCTTGGGAGCACACCGGCAAACATTTTTTCTTCATTCTTTTTATTTATTCTCCACACCAAAATCTGGTACCATGAGGATCTAAGACACATTCAAATAGAATTAAGGGTAATGCACCTGTTGCCAGGTGTAACCTAGTTGGTCCACCCCACATTTTTAAAGGATGGTGTTCTAAATGATCTGGACACAGCAATACCACAGTAAGACTGGTTCAAGCGAGGGAGGCATTCAAAAGTTGGACACACTTCCAGTCATATCCCCACCACTTATGCGAAAGTACTTTAAAAATATTCATGAACATATATAACATTGGAGCTTGAGTTGCCCAACGGGCTTGGCTGGTGAAAATTCCCGTCCGAATAAAAAATAGTAAATATCTGTTAGACTTGCCTTCACTTCCACGGCCATCTCTTCAGAGACAAAGTCCTCGGTGACTTGCTGCAAAACAAGAGAGCGTTGGAAAAAAATCTGTCGCAGGACCAACAGCATCCTCAAGTTCCCAAAGAACCGACCCTACCTTGACCAGTCTAGTGATCAAGAAGCCAGAGAACCGCTCACAAATAATGCCCTTGTTGCTCTGCAAGAACCTCCAGGCCATGTCCCGGCTGATGGGTGTCGCAGCACAGGAGATTATCACAAAGACAGCATCCTGTGTCTTCACTTCACTCTGAGGGGGAAATAAGCCAATGAGTGCCCATTAGGCAGTCTTTTCAACAAGAAAGTGTGGCTAGAACAAAGAGAGTGCACATGCAACCAGAGAAAAGGAAAGCTGCTAAGGATTAATGTTACATTCTCCAATCTCATTTTGTTGATCCAGGAGTGCTGTTTATTTATTAAATGAAAACTCACCCTCATTCTGGACTGAATTGACTACCAGCTGCAGCCATATTTGGAACAAAGAGCTTGTCTGCATTTTCGTTTTCCTTCTTGACTTCTTAGCTTTTTGCTTTCATTTTACTCAAATCTGGCAGCATAAATTAATGTTGAACTAGCCCTTAGAAGGACACTCAAATGCAAAAAAAATTTTTTTCTTCAAAGAGCCTTATGTAAAACATATATATACAAAAAAAAAAAATGTTGCGGTAGTTTTGTTGTTAGACACAATTTAGGTGGAGGCAGTCCTGCTCTTGGCCCTGCCCATTAGTGAAAGGACCGTAGCTAGCCACGCTTCGTTTCTCGGCTTTTATTGGTTGGAGACACTATTGATGCGTGAAATGTTAGTTGTAAAATTGTTTCTCCGTGACGTAATAGACTTATTTGACATATTTTTATGTTTCAGAAGGAAACAATATAGATACTCATTATTGTTTTCAAAGATATCACGAGATCACCTTTTCCGCTTCGGTTTCAAACAATAACAAACATGGCTGCCAGCGTCTGCGGCAAACAGTTCCTTACACTGCGTAACTCGTTGAGTTCATCTATTTTTACGCGTGTGAGCTGTTTCGCATTCATGAAGATATTCAGAGGAAAATCTTAACCAGTATAGTTTGCAGCAAACAATTGTTGCAATTATAAACGCCTTCGGAAGCGCTGCGAGAGTGCTTGTTTTCGTAGCGGGACTGGTGCAAGCCTAGCGTCCCACGTCAACTAGTATTTTGCTTGATCTGGCTTAACTTCTTCATGATTATTGAAAACCTGAGACTGTGGTTTGAAAAACAGAAAAATGTGAAGTAGAGAGAAAAAGGGACAGACTTCTCACCAGCTCGCCGGCACTTCAACAGTTTTTTCATTAATTTGTTCGTTTGTGTGTTTTGATGCCGAATAAATGTCGGTTCCCAATAAAGCGCCCCCCCCCCCCCGCCCCCCCCGCCCCGCCCCCCCCCGCCCCGCCCCGCCCCCCCACACTTTAAGAAACGTGCAACTGTCGTGATCGCGACCATGGTTTCAGTAGCGAGACGTAACCTACACAGGTAAGAATTTTGAGCCATTTGGCTGGAAGTAATCTGACATTCACCTCACATCAGCTAGGTTTGTCTAGATATGTTTCCTTCATTTCTCTTCAGAAGGCCTGTAGGTCAAGTTTTGAGCAGTGCACTTGGCTTGGTAGAGCGATTATCTTTAGGTCGCATATTAATTGTGCGTCTTGAAGCTCACACACCTTGCTCGTGGGTGCTATGTAAAAAAAACAAAAAGAGAAAAGCTCCAAAGACTGCATATTTATTTGTAAAAATTCTTTTTGTCCTTTCGGTCGTTTTTACAGCGGAGCTGTTAAGGGCTAGGTTCCCCAGGATCGTGTCCGGTACGTCGACACAAACCTACCTGGACAGCTACCACCATCTATAAGCGACGGCGGCAAGCACACAACCAGTCTGGTTGCCGCCATCGCTCGTAGATGGCGGCAACCTTTCCAGCTATCATAGAAGAATGGTTGGTTGGGCACCCGCCGCCCATTGGTGGAAATTCATCGTAGAAAACAGCACGCAAAACAGACAACGACGAAGAAGCACACGTAACGAGCGCAGCGCTCGTCACGTGTTTCTTCGCCCTCGTCTGTTTTGCGCGCTGTTTCCTATGCTCTTTTCAGTTTCGGTTTAGACTCAGGATGGGTCGGCCGCGCGCGCCCCTTCGGAGAAAAAAGACTGTCTGAGGAAGGAGCGGCGACGTACGCAGCAGCACGAATGGGTCCACAACCGCCGTAAAGCCGCTGTCGCCTCGACTTCCACTGCGTACAGCGTTTCAGATTCCCTTGCCAAAGAAGAGCACATTGCTCGCCTAGAAAGCCGCCGCCGAGAACAGAACCAGCGATGTAAAGGGCGCCGGCGGGCCAACGCCACAGATGACGATCGTGCCACGGAGGCCGAGCGCACGTGCGAGGCCCAGGGATGACTGCATTCCACGCTGGCTGAACAGCTCCCGGATGCGACGGCGAGGTTCCGAAGGGAGTTCGTGGAGAACCCGTTTGGCGTCGCGTGCGCCGTGTGCTACCGACTCTGGTTTGCCGGAGACGTATCCACGATCGGCGGCGTGTCGAACGAGAAGAAGCAGGAAACGGGCACGTGCGCGTTGCAGCAGTGTATCGAGTACAGCTCCGCTGGTCTTCCCTCTTCACAAGAGTGGAAAGGCTGAATGTTCTTTTTTATTGCACATTGACAGACGCTTGTATGTGACCGTTGCTCGTGCATGATGGAATGCTAGAACACCGCTTTCATAATCATGTCTTACGAGCGCTGCAGACGGTTTTAGACGGGGGCACACTAGCAGATGGACGCAAGCGGTGGCCCCATTTTGCGGGCATTCCAGGTGATATAGTGTGTGTTCTAATACACGATGCCGCCGTGCGTCTGCCTGCAAGACTAGCAGACCGGGTCAGACGGCAAATTGATGCACCAGACGTCGCGGCAGGGAGACATCAGTAGAAGGGCGGGGTCACCGTTCTGTGGGTGGGGCTAAGAGCGGTTAGTGACCCCAGGAATGGAAGCAAGCTTCAGCCTTTTGGAGGAGGTCTGGGAGCAGCAAAGATGCCCCCTTTGGAGCAGCTTTGGAGCAGTAAAAGTTCTGCTTTGGAGCAGCTCAGGAGCAACAAAAGTCGAGTTTCAGAGCAATGTAAGTAAATCTTGGAGCTGGTCACCCAAGTCAAGCTCGGGGCTATAAGCACAGATATGTTTTTATAAATACAAAAAATATCAACGAAAAAGCATCTCCATGTGGCATTCCAAAACCATTTCCAGACATACCCTTTCCTTAAATATATTCCAGCCCATAGCATAAAAAAATATTTGAATGGCAGCTATTGAGAACTGTCCTGGTAGCGGGTTGGTCCCTCTCATGCCTTTACAATAGAAGGCATAGTCAACAAAAGAAGTACAACTTAAGCGTCATGAAAACAAGACGTTGTGCCTATTTAACAACCTAAATCACAAGTTCCATAAGTTGAAAACAAAACCATTTCAAGATGCAACAGTATGGTATGAAATAAAATACAATACTGAATCTACTGGTTTTCATTATTAGGAAATACAAATATTCAAGTCCCTAATTAGCAAACAAAAATATTCCAATACTCAACAGAGCACAATTCTACTCTATCTGATAAAAGTACAAATGCAAAATATTGAAAACTTCATGATACCATCTATACCATCCCTGCTCATACATACACACTAAACCCTTACTATACCTGTTTTCACCTCAAGAAAAAAGGAAGTTTTACTCAATGTTTGTGCGCTGCGCGAAGTAGTTCTTACAAGATTTGGTTGTCGGAGGCAGAAGCGATGCTTTTGGCGTTTGAAACGTGTATGTCTTGATAAAGCAACATATATCCCATCTAAAATGCATCACATATATCTCAATTTTGAGCATAAAGAGGAAAATTAGTAATGCTACGCGAGAAGCCATACTTTTTTTACTACAGTTCTTGAGGTGAAAACGAGTGTAGACTGACTAAAAAAAAAAAAGTTTAATAAAAACAAAGTGACTGACAAAACTAGCAAGTAAGACCATAAAACAGAAGGTTTTCCTCAGAAGTAAATTGCTTGGATGTATATTCTAGCACAACGGTTTCGAATGCTTCACTCAACAAGACATACCCACTGTTCTTGTCAACCTCCCGCCGGCTTGCTGTTTGTGTGCCAGTGCGTGTATTCGCCATTATTGCCATTTAAAAGAAAGTCCACAGATGATCGAGGCAACCAATTATCACTTTTATATGTTACCTTTACGACACGAATGAGGAGAGCAGAAGCGGTCTCAGCAAAAGCACACACCCCAAACACGCAAAAAAAAAAAAATATTATGCCAAACGTTTAATTTTGCAGAGTAGTTATCGCTTTCCCCAGAGATTAGATGATAGGTGAACACATGCCAGCAGGCTCTTAGGTATGTTTATATACCATAAGGTCCTAAAAGAATGCCCACCCAAAATGAAAAGGTAAAAAGTGTACACGTGTACAGGGCAGTACAAGTTACGTGAAACGGGAACTCTTCGACTTCAAAGTTTTCGAATTTTTCCCTTACCACAGTCTCGGGGTTTAAACACTATGATTAACTGTCACCAGCTCGTCTGCCAAATCAAAAAAAGTTTGGGGTTTTACATGCCAAACCAACGACGGACATCTGGCACGCCCCAGCGGAAGACTGAGGATTAATTTCCACCACCTAGGGATCTTTTGACGTGCAACCGAAAGCTCAATAACATGGTACCAGCTCGCCTGTGCACTCACCGTATTTTCATTAATGATACATATCGCAGACACGGCAAACTCTCGTGTGCGATAAGTATGCAGGAATTCGCTATGAACTCCCCTGTCATGGGTACGGCAGCAGAACATGGATGCAGTGCATTAGTGCTTCACAGTGCAATATACACGCAAGAACCCGGCCGCTACAAACTCGGGTGTCACTGGAACCGACATCGCACGCGGAAATCGTAGACAAAAATAAAAACAATATTGAGGATGCTGCAGATTCACGTGTCACGGTGCAATAAGCATGAGGGAACCCGCGGCGAACAAACTTGTCACATACCAATACCGCCGATCACGCGGTAGATGTGATTAAAGGGGGACATGGGTCTAAATTTCAAATTTTTTTGAAAAAGTTCATTTTCACATTTGAGGTCCCCCCCTTAAGTTTTAGAAACTAATTATACACCCTTGCACTAAATTTGCATCTCATATTCTGAGGTAATAACGAAATATTTATGTTTGAGTTATAAAAACTAGATGGCCCGAAGTCCCACATCCCCCACTTTCTATTCAAGAAGTAAAAATGGTGCTCAATAGCTTCATTTGCATATCATAGAATTCTTAACGAAAAATGACATCTTTTTATGCAGGTATGTCAAATTGCCCAAGAGAGCTGAAAGTTTGCACAATACACATACATCCGATGTCGAATATTCCTTGCAAATTTCATTCCGATCACCTCACTAGTTCAGAAGTAAAATTTCTAGCCAGTGTTCAGGGATGGGCAATTTCTCGGGAGCGGGCGTTCGTACAAACCTTTACGGTATATGCGATTTAATGAGTGTGTGTGGCATTTTGAATACATGTGGCCATGCTCAGTGCCACAGAGCAAGTAGGTAAATGACGAAACTATGCATCAAGGCATCGTTTCGTTGTTTGTCAGAGTGCTGATCAGTACTCTGACAAAGCGACCTATGCATGTCCCACTTTCGGAGAACAGACCTACACACCGTTGACAGGACTGCATCAGTATGATGGCTTCATAACAATATTAACTTTTAGCAAACCGTTACCGTGTTCTGCGTACCGCACACTACTGGAGCGTTTGAGCATGCATGCTTTTAAGCGCGCGCCCTGCAATCACAATATCACTCGGGAGTGCACTTAAAAGCATGCTTCAAAGGCTCCAACGGGGAACACGGTAACGGTTAGCTAAAAGTCTCTATTGGTTCAGAATTACCTAAACGAACAGAACACGGTAAACCACTGTAACCCATAAAGAGTACTCCAATAATATAGCTTAAAAAAAAAATTTTCCGCTAGTTTTGGTGCAACATGTGTTTTTGGGAGCAGGATGGCACAGCGAAAGTGGATTGACACCCAATGGTGCAATTGGTGCAGATCTTCCACCCCTGGTGACCTCCACCTACATTGCATCTAGCAGCGTAAATATTGCAATAAAAATGTAATTTTTCCGTGGGAATTTTTTTTTAATGTTTTAATTAACTTTTTGTTTTACAGAAAGACTGGATTATCATTTGGTTCAGACTCTTCAAGAAAACAAAGAGGTAATGCAATCCAAGATACTGAAGACTGATAAGAAAGCACTAGAAATGACAGGACCCCCAAAAAAACTGCCTCAAACCATCTGCATGACACATTTCTGTTTATTTTCCTCCTTATTTGACTGAAGGCTTTTTAGAGCACTTTAATAAAAGAAGACTTCAATTTATGAACTCTCGAATTACTTAACACTTAAACATCTATAGAAGTTGAGAAAGGACAGACCTCCTCACATTTGTACTGCCCTTGCTTTCAGAGACCACGATTTCTGAATTATGAACATTTTTCTTAGAAAATAACCAAAACCACAGTGTAATCAATATATGTCTGCAAAATCTGAATCCTCAACAGCCCCCACCCCCTCCCCCCCCCCCCCCCCAAAAAAAAAAAATCACACATTAAAGAAGGATAACAATAAAACTGAAATAAGGGTTACTGTACAGAGACCATGATTTCTGATTTATGAACATTTTTCTTAGAAATTAACCAAAACCACAGTGTAATAAATATATGTCTGCAAACCCTCAATCACCAACAACCCCCTCCCCCCCCCCCAAAAAAAAAATAATAATTACACGTTAAAAGGGATAACAATAGAACTGAAATAAGGGTTACTGCACAGGCAAGCTGGTAAACAATCATAATGAAAAAAAAAAAAAAAAAAAAAAACCCTTGAGTTTAGGGACAAAACTTGGGACAGACAACACAACACGGCATTGTATTGTCCCAATTTTTGTCCCTAGTTTCAAGGGGGTTTTTTTGTTTTTTTTTCTTCCACTATGAACAATAAAATTGTACTTTGTTTCTTGTGGTTCCCCAAACAATTTTTTTTTACCAGGATCAGACTCCCTCAAAGAATAGTAAAAAGACTTTGCTACAGGCACTCTCCAGTTCTGGAACTAACTGTCCGACTTGACGATAATGGATGGCTTCCTATCTTGGTGACCTTGATTTCAAAAGCCTTCACAATGTTTAGGGTCACATGGCGACACTCTCGACATGGTTATACAGGGAGATAGCCTCCAACTGAAGTCGCCATAGCATTTTGAAACTATAGTTACAACTCTCTCTGCAGCTAACACAGTACTGAAGTTGCAGCTATAACAAGCAGTTTAGAAAATACTAAAGGAACTGATGAGTGTGTTGGCTCTCTCTCTCTATTTCTGAATGCATATTTCCCCCGGAGACCTGGTGAGTTCCAATTTCCCATGCCTCATGGTACATTGATACACATTCATTGGACAAATTCTACAAGGCACATGCAAAACATACCGACAGAGCAAACTCCAGTGTAGCTTGGATCAGTTCTGGGTCTGTGAAAGCTGCCAAGCCCGCAGCAATCCTGTTTCTTTCTTCTTGCAGGTCTGTGCTCCTATACAGCTAGAAAGATATAGCAAACCAAGTCAAACAGCAATAAACAAACTGCAATGTTAGTGAAAAAAAAAAATGAATGGAAAAGATGATCCAGTTGACACATGCATAAATCTTTCTCTCACAACAGACAAATTCAGCTACAGTCTAAGCTCATCATAACAGACCTTGATTTTGACCAAGACTTCGGTTTGTTGTAAAAGGAGTATGTTGTATGCAGATACAGTCGAATCTCGTTAATTCGAACTTGAGGGGGATCAAAATTTTGTTTGAATAAAGCAAAGTTTGAATTACCAAGAGTTTTTTTTTCCATTGGGGTGCATAGGATGGGACCTGTATGTTAGTTTGAATTGTCCGTAAGTTTGAATTAAGAGAGTTTGAATTAACGAGATTCGACTGTATGAAGTTGAGTCAATGGTATGTAGAGGAAAACCAACAGAACTTCACGAATCAGTATGTTGTATCCAAATGTCCGTCGCAAACAGGTCTGTTGCAATGAGCTTAGACTGTAGAAGGGAAGCTGCTGCTCGACATCACTGCAAATGACGCAGGTGGCTGCTGGAAAGCAAAACATGGGTACTTGGGGCAGTGATGACCACCTAGTCCTACGAGAAGAGAATCCGGGAGACGTGAAACGCATCACAGCTCCTGTCAAACTTTGCCCCATTTGATTGGCTGGTGCCAAGGGCACCAAAGCACCAAGGGCATCAAGTGTGCCAAAGCACCAAGGGCACAGAAGCACCAAGGGCACCATTGACGGTGCCAAGGGCATGCTTCTGTTTGTCCCTAGGGAAAGCCCTCCCACAGCACAATGATAAAGTATCCAGGCCAGAAACATGATGGTATGTGCAAAGATGATGCAGAAGAACAATTACCTTCAGGAGTGCATCATAGAGCTTTCGATCTGCCGTGGATGCTGCGGCCTGGTAGACCTAGGCATAGGAAGTAGTGCTTTTGTGAGCCGACGTTAGAGAAAGCGTTGTTACCACCTATATCCTTGAATCAAAAAACATTTCTGCAAGCACTAAATGCTTTTCATAAAATGGGGACACAGCGTTATTGGAAATTCTCTATGTAATATTTATTAGCAATTTACCTATTTCCCAATACTAGGAATTACCATAAAGTCCAGAAGGGATGCCAATCCCGAAAGGACTCCTTCAGCAGCACTCCCATAAAATAAAAATGGACTGGAGTTCCAAAGTGGGCAGGTCAGTGGGGAAATGCTAGTTCATACCTCCAACAGGGTTAGGCTCTTTTTCCCACCATCGTATCGTAACAATAAATATATGCTAAACCAAAAGGCGAGTCCTTGAGATTCTCTATTTACCATTAGGTGCTCAAATGGGAAAATATCAGGGTGTCGAACCAAGCCCGAACTGAAAACTGGAGCAAAGCCATTCTTTTTGACCAAACTGGAACAAAACCGGAATTGAACACGTGACATTCAACCCGAACCGGAATGAAACCAGAATTTCATGTGGTTGTAACCGGTTCATTGGGAAACGTTTCGGCGTAATAAATTGTGAGCCACAGATGTATTTGCGGGTGGGCAGCGTGAAGTCAATTAAATATTCGCAATGGTGGCATCAGTAGTGCAGTGTTGACTGAACAAACAAGAGCAACGTGAAGCCAGCACAATAACAATGAAGCAAATAAATAAATTTCCTGCCTGCGTGCAGCACAACTTGACATCGGCGCGGAGGCATACTCTTCTTTATTTTCGACTATGCCAAGAGACTACAAAGCTATTATACATTTTTTTATTATTTGCCGCTAAACAATATTTTGTAAGAAAAGAAAAAGCAAATACAAATATTGATGGCTGTCAGTGTGTTTACTAGTTGGCTTGTTCCGCGGTGGCAAAAGCCGTACCGCCACTGGAAAGGCAAAGCAATGAGGACCCTCGTTGAAATGCCAATCACCTGCAGCTCTGAACGCTGCCTGAGGAAAATATTTTGTTTTGTTCTTCAACTGCGGCATAGCGCCCATTTCCTTTTTTTTTGGTTTGCATCATCTTTCTACTGTCCTTTGCTGTCTTCTAATATTTAACTCAGTGTGACGATATGAACGGGACTTAAATGAAAAAGACGAGACGAGGCACGAGCGTGCGCAGAGATGCACTTGTGCCAGAGGACCGAAGGCAGTGATCGAGAATGAACGCATCGTGACTCCGGTGAACCAGACAACCGAGTTAGACCCTGGACAGGCATCGAAAGGCTTGTGGGGGCTGAAACCAGGCTTGCTGGGGGATCTGCCATCTGCTCGGAGTCATCGCCCTGAAGAATCAACATCTAGGCTCAAGGCTGCTGTGAATCCCAAGAACGAGTGGCGCCTTGTAAGCGGAACCTCTCTGACTGACTTTATGTGGACTTGTATATAGCTCACTGTGCTTCCCATGCTTCTTGTTCTTTTTTATATTTTTGTTAATTATATGTATTCTTTTGCTTACCCCGTTCTGGAATCCCGAGTCCTCCCATTTCCACCTTTTTCCATCTCACTCAGTCATTTGAGGCGGGTAGTGCGCGAGGGGGGTGCAAGATAGTGTCACGGTGTCTCTGTGGGTGCTGGCCGATTCACTTCCCTAAGAGTACTCTACTTTGGTACTGTTTTCGAGTGCTTGTATGACCACATAATTTACATACAATGGTGTTTACAATAAAAATTCAAGATCAGAAAACGAAGTTAAGCATCTCTCCTCTCTTTGGTGGTACGGCTTTTGATGGCCACTTTTACAGCAGTAGCTGTTAGTGCCCCTTCCATGAAAAAAAAAATGCTCACGTACAAACCCAAACCTCGCTCTACAGCAGAAACACTGCTCTTCCTCTCCCCGTCGTTCCTCACACATACACGCCAACTGCGGCAAGGCTCCCTCTTGTCTCCCCACCCCATTTCCCCCCTGTAGGCCGCTGATGTTCCAAAAATACCCACGTGATCGCGGGGAGAGCACTCTCTGCCTCCCCATTGTTCTGGCCACATCCAGATGCCCTCCAACGACTCTCTCCCTTCCTCTCTCACCCCTCTGGCAGCCGCTGTTACAAAATACTCCCGTGGTCGCGCTGTGCGGATACATTCTTTTGCCTGCCTACTGCCACCACCCAGGTTTTGTTCTCACATGCTCTCTGCACCTCGCCTCACATGCTCTCCGTGCCACGGTTTCAGTAAAAAAAAAAAACAAAAAAAAAACACGTCTCTGGATCTTTTTTTAAGACATGAAACGTCTTGCGCAATCGTCAATCCCAGTGAATCAATTCCAGTAAAAGCAAACAGCCCATTGCAAACACTGTGCAGCACACTGTCTGAAGGCAAATCTCCTTCAACATGCCTTTCCACAACACAGCAGCTACAGCAGCACACTTTGTGTAGTTTTGAATTTTTTTCTTTTTTAATGCAAGTGATATTGAGCCAAACACACTTATTTTCTTAACCATTGGGAGTTTAGCGCAGGAAATGCAAGGGCGGCCACGATCTAAGGTAGAGTTACGAACCGGTTTGAACCGGTTCACGTTTGTTGAAACTGGCAATTGAACCATATTTCGAACGCATCACTGGGTTGGAGCCGAACTGGAACAAAATGCAAAGCTACTGAACCCGAACCAAAATAATGACCGATTCGATACCCAGGAAAATATGAAATAACGCCAAGATGGGAAGCAAGAAATACAAAGCAGAGACACAAAGGACAAGGTCGGAAAAGGCTTGTCCCCATTCTTTGCGCCTTTCCTTTCGAGTTGTTATCAAATTTAGAGAGTAGAAAATAGAAAATTGGTGGCATGCATGCAAATGAGCCCACACATCTGATTATACAGCCAGTCCCCAGCAGATCGCAAGTACCTCAGTGGCAACTTGAGCCAGCCATCTGGGAATCCGTATGCTAGCATTTTGCCTTACAGCCATTGAGGCGGCCTGATATTGGTAGGAGCTAAAAGTGAGCCCAGAAGTGCTAAAGACTGGTAATTCATTTATATGCACAAGGATCTTGGTACCTTATCGTAATGTAATACGAGAGATCCTTCCTTGAAATTTTTGACATCCCTCAGAGAGTTCTGTTAACCACCATGACAGCCACAGCCTTCATTGTGGTTTCCGCATGCAGCTCAGACACTAAAAGTGTTTCTTTATTGCCCCGCAATGGCTCAAGTCAAGTGAATAGAATAAGAAGGACCTAGACATAAAAGCTCCACAGCTATAGCACTTACCACGCTCCGAATGTCAGCCGGAATGATGGCAGTGCCAGCAATATGGGCTTCAAGCCTCTTCTTTGCTTCAGTCAACACAGCTTCATCTTTGAAGCGGGCCAGCCGACCAATCACTGTGCTTCGAAGCAATGTTTCCAAGTGGCCTAGAATAGATAATGCATAAAGCAAGAAAGTTAAAGAAGCCAAAAAACATTTCTGTGCACTTCATTCAAGGAGTGCTCTCACCTTCAAAAAAATAAGTGAGCAAGTGATTAAAACATGTATACAAAATTTTTTAATAACGATGCATAGAATAAATGTGACAGCAATGGCACAAAAAAACAACCACTAGTTCCAATTTGTTTTTTTGTTTTGTTTTTTTTTTAACAGAAAGGTTATTACTGACATTACTATAGTCACTAAGAAGGTAAGAATGGCAAGGAGGAGCTTAAGTTGTCGGTGTCATGAGCGCGAGCTTCCTACTTTCGAAAATGCTTGGGTACCTCAAGCCCCTTGCGTGCAGCCCAAGCACGACAGATGGCTGGAGGCCGGGTGTTTGAAAGACGCGCCCTGCCATTTTCATTCTGTCAGTGTCTAAAGTGTACCACATAGTATATTAATATCCAGGGCACCCGCTTAGGCAGTACAGTGTAGTGCAGGGGTAGGCAACCTTTTGCTGCAGCGGGCCGAATCACCGCAAATTGAAGACGAAGTGGGACAAATCAAAACCCGGAGAGGAGTGGAGGTAGGGAAGGGGGTGGGGGAGGGGGAAGGGCAGCAGCAACAAATTAGAAAAAAAAAAAACTGTTCCAAGCTCAAAGTGATTTGCAAAGATGTCTTATTGATTTAGGCACGCGTAACCTAACATTGCTCAAGCCCCCTCTCAGTAGATGTTTTGGTGTTCAATACTGCTCACCAACATGCAAACATTCACAGTAAACCTGCCAACAGAGTCGTAAAATATAAGTGCTCACTGTAATTTGCAAACACTTTTGACTTTACGGTCTCCATCTTAAAAAAGTATGTTTTCCGATATGCATACTAAAAGGAACACTGCAAACAAAGCTGCTGCGAGCTTTCGGGGATTTGAGAACTGATTCAGAAAGGTCAGAATAAAACTTAACGAAGTCGTTTGCTTTAATTGCGTCCTACAACTTATTTTGTTTGGTGTGAATTCTATCTCGCAAGTCTCTTGAACTTGGCCGAGGACTGTCTTAAATAAATTTTAGAAAATGTGGATGTCGTTTGAGTATTTCGCAAGATCAAGGAATCCAGCTCCGACGCTGTTCAGGTCGTGTACTATCACACAGATACTTTCTTTATAGAATAGTGTGCTCGTTCCACCTACAAATATTTCTCAGAAAGGAAAATTGTATATATATATTCATTGTGTATAAAGATTCCTGGCGTTGGGAGACATAGAGCTTCAGCTCAAAAATGTTTACGTCGGGTAACATACCGCCACGAGTTTCCCTTTCTTTCGTAATACTACGTTTCAGTCATTAGGGTGGTGTAAAATATCAGCCCGAAATGCCAAGTTCCACATCCAATCAGGACCAGGAAGGCTCTGCGAGGGCATCCTTTCATGGTGAAAAACTGATTTCTTTATAAACTTAGAAAATAAAAACAGCAAAACTCTTGTTTTTACATAGGATAGTAAGCCTCTGTCTGCAAAAAAACTGTTCAAATCAAAAATGGTACAAGTTGACATTTCTGACAAAATTTATGCTAATGACATACCTTAAATATTGAACCCCAGTGTGTCATTTAATTTTTTGGTGCATAACAACTGCCAATAGATAGTACAATGAATGTGACTAAGTAACTAACCCCTAGCATGCCATATCAAAGGTAATACATTTGATTACACTAGATATGCAACAGATTATATTTCTTGCACTATTGGCCCCAGTGTGTGTCTGTGTGCGTGCGTGCATGTGTGTGCGGGGTGGGAAGGGTCTTTTCTGGTATCATGCCAGGGGCCGCATAATATCGCCTTGCGAGCTGTGGGTTCCCAACCCCTGGTATAGTGCATCACTATTCTGTATGTATAATTGCGAAAAGGCTTGCCAATATACTAGTGTATACACTACTTCACAGAGCCATTACCAGAGCTGTATGTATAACTAATTACAAAGGAATGTTACTGTAATTAGTTACAATATAGGCAACTAAATACTTCTTGAGTTACAGAAAAATTTTAGTAATTGTAAAAGCTGGTTCAGGCAATTGTTCTTGGGTGTTTTGCCCCACCACTACCATTAATCCATTGGAGTAAGTGATGGTCCCACAAAGATATCAAAATAATAGAGCACGTCCGAAATTTCAGCGTCCAAAAAATCGGTTACCGCGCTAAAAAGAATCCTTATCGAGAAGGATAAAAAAAACATTTATTATAGCTCAACCTTAATTTTTGAAGTGGAAAGGACTGACCTATCAGTAGCGCAGTATCTTTGGGTCGTGTGCACGCAGCAGCGATCTGTCACAAGCGCGTCACACTATCACCACTTTGGGGGCGATTTAGGCCACGACAGAGTAAATTCCCCAAACTGGGTCAAAGAAAGGTTCTTTTTGTTAAAATCAAACAACTGCTATGACCTATTTTGACCACAGGCTACATATCTCTCATTGTTATGTGCCTGCAAAAATTCAGATTTATAAAGTTCAGTAGTAATTTTAGCTAGTTTGCTAGTTACTGTAAACAACTTGATTCTCGAGGGCTCGAATGTTCGCGAATTGGACCAAAGGTGGATATTTGGAATTATTCGCGGGTTATAAGTTTCGTGAATCTGGCTGGTATGCTATGTATATGCTACTATAAGGAAACATATTCGCAGGACCTATTTTCACAAATCTTAGGCGATTCGCGAAAATTATAAGTTGTTTATAGTATGTCGCAATCATTCCCTGCTGTGTGCTTTAACCAACATTATCTTGAAAAAAATTATAGCTCCTTTATGTCAAGGACGTTTTTATTTTTTAACATGTTTTCCGTCCAAAAAGTACCGTGTACCTTAGACCCTTTAAATAATAGAGTGCCATCTGTTGCATGGATAGGCATGGATGGGTGGATGAATATTGGCTGTTCCCCTTGTAATGGGCGGCAGCTTGCGCCGCCTATACTTCGTTTCAGCTTCCATCCGAGCGCAGCCGAAGCTTACGTGTGGCCGGAGCCAATCACACGCCGGCAATAGGTCACGCAATCTCGCCTGCACTTTTGTATCACTCCGCTGCGCCGCTGGTCATCCGTGCCGCCCGCGCTCGCCGAGTATTTCGTCTGCTACGGGTGTATCAACTGTATCGCACGCAACGGTTTAAAAAGTGCCCTTTCACGTCCTGAAATTTAGTAACGGAGGATGTCAACACGTAGGCTGGCCACTGGCGTGTGTGCCCGAGCTTTCCACCTGTTCGGCAATGTGATACGCAGGTGAAGGAGTGCCCTGATTTCGCCGCGTATCAATGAATTGTAGTGACCCGGACGCTTTTCTTGTTTACAACGCATTCGCGGTACGACGTGACGGAGTCTCCTGGCGAATTTGAAAGTAGACATTCTTTGCGACCTCTCACGCAAGCGTGCTTTAGCGAAAGGACGTTTTGAAGCGACTCTGTGAGGAAAGCAACGAAGCACATGATTTGGCCATTACGGGAACGAATTCACACAGAAAAACCGAGCGCTGCAGCTGTGTTGCCAGCGGATGTATGTGTTTTCACCAAAACACATGCATTTAAATATATTAATAAAAACATAAACTTCCGATATCTAATTCCTTTAGTTGCGAATCATTTTCAGCAGTACACATCTGGAATATTGTGCAATGTTTAAGCACAAAACAGTTACTTAAAAAAAAGTTACTTTTGCAGACTACTTTGTCGTGCATAGGAATGCTCTCCTCGAAGTTGCGAACCTTCCCTCAGCCTTTGGCTGCGCTCGGACGGAAGCTGAAACGAAGTATAGCCTAGTTTATACCAGTTTAAAAATTTTGCACAAAATTTTGTCTCTTGTTAATAAGCATAAATCCCGAATTTCGCGTAATATCACACTTTTCTAGACCCTTTTCCACCAATCTTCTAACCTCCTCTTTGTTATTGTAATAATCTTTTCATCCATTCCTCCATCTCCATCCACCATCCCCATCCCCATCCCCCCCCCTTCCCCCCCCCCCCCATCCATCAGACCCAGTACTCCCACACGATCTGTCCCCTCCAGGTGGGTGGGATGAAGCCCCGCACAGTTTATAACCAAATGTTCCATTGTTTCCTCCTCACTATGGCATACCACACATAATGTGTTAGTATCAGAAAAATTTGCCCTATGTGTCTTAGTTCTCAGAACCCCTGTCCTTGCCTCAAAAAACAAAGCGCTCTCTTACGAGTTACCAAATATATTTTCTTTTCTTATTTCCAGTTTATGCGATCTGTATAGTGTTAGAGCCAATTTCGTCGGCATCCCTCCTTCCACATTTTCTCCTTGGTCTCCTTTACGCCCTTTTGTACTGTGGCATTTTGCTCGCCCCCATCATCACTTTGTAGGTATTTAAATTTTAGCTTTCGCGTTCCATTTGTCCACTTTGTGTTCAAGCTCTTCATATATAAATACCTCGTACGCCTCCCAGCCGCCGCCCCGCCCGCCCCCCGCCGCCCCCCCCCCCCCCCCCCCCCAATCTGCATATTTTCCATATTTTATCTAGCCTATGCTCGAATTTCAGTTTACTGATAGCTTCTCTAGCCTCAAATGATGACCAGCCCATATCCCCCTGTACCCCCTCATTCGGTGTGCCCCCATGCACTCCTAGTACCAACCTGCCCACACTTCTTTGCCGGATTTCTCAACTTGAATGAACCTCAGCTTTCATGCACAGTACCGCATTACCAAACACCAGTCCCGGCATCATAACTCCTTTCCAGATACCCCTTACTACTTCATATCTATTAAAATTCAGCAGCACTCTGTTTCATAATTGCAGAGTTTCTATTCCCATTCTTTAGTACATTTTCCTCGTGTTCTTTTAGGTAGTTCATTCCCTCAATAATGCATACCCCCAGATATTTATGTGTCTACAAAGCCTATTACCATGTTTTGTGTTTTCAAGGGATCTCTTTTGTCGTCATTAAAAACCATTACTCCAGATATGTCGCCACTGAAATTTAGGTTCAGCATGTCACCCTCCCCTCTGCATATCCCCATTAGTTCTTGCAATGTCATCTGCATACACAAGTCCAGGTATAACTTAATTTACTTTTCTCCCTCCCTCCATATAAGTCACATCAAGGCCCAGATTAATGTGTTCTAGTCCCTATTCCATTCCACTCCTGACAACTAGCTCCAGACACCAGGGCTGCCAACACAGGAAATCAGAATTTCCCTAGCAAATGCCTGGTATTTCCCTATTTCTGCCGAAATTTCCCTTGCTTGCCCAAAAAATTACATACCATACTACCGTAGAATACCATGCATCCGCCCATTCCACATTACGTGCCGATATCCAAATTTCTAAGATCTGAGAAAATATGCACAGTACATTTATATGTAAAACTGATGACCAGACAAGCGCCCATTCCCCATTTTTTTGCGATTATCTCTAAATTTTGAGTGGGCACTTGCCCGGTATTTTACGGTATATATTGTTTGTTTTTTTGTTGTTTTTTTTTGCATCATTTCCATTTTTACGGTGAGGGATATATTATATAGCCTTTACGCCTCACATATGTTTCGCAAAAATTAGTTTATCGGGGCAAAACTGTGGCCAAAGCAAATCTGGCGAGAGGGAGTGTTACCGCGGGAGATTCAAACTGACATGTAAAACCCTATCTTCGCCCTAGATGTTATGCACGCCATCAGAACGTGGTACTGCTTAATAACTTAAGAGCGCTTTTTATAGTAGTCAATCCAAAACAAAAGGTGTAACACAAGCGAGAGTTCTCAAACTATCTCAAACTATTATAACACACGGAACACGACTCACAGTAACTTACATTTCGTGCACGGCACTTCACAAAATATATTAGTCATGGTAAGTACGTATCTTAAGACATCGCAGCATTTCTTCTTGCGATCTAAACTTTCTTTTTCGAGAAGGCACAGCTGCACTCTAAGGAGCTTCCACTTGGCTGATCTCTTCCTCCATAGTTTTCACGGAAGCGATGAAAACAAATGAAAACTGATTTTGCCGAAAAAAAGTTGTTCAAGTGCTCCTTGGTGTTTCCAAATGGTTGCAGAACAAACCGCAAAGCGGCTGGGGGAATAACCTTAATGTAGTGAAAGCCACTAAAATTCGATGTTATTTCGAAATAAAATCATAATTAACCTTTAAAATTCCAGATATATAAGGTGTCCAATATTTCCCTCAAACTAGCAAGATTTCCTTTATTACCACATAGACCTGAAGATTACCTTAATTTGGTAAATTTTCCTCGGGTTGGCAGGCCTGTCCGACACCATCTTGAAGGAGACCGCGCCGCTCATGCCAGTCTGTGTACGTTTCAATGTTGCAATACTATAATCAAAATACTTTTGCGTTTTGTTGTGTGAAGTCAGAGGGAGTTGGTTTGTATGCCCAATTAGTAAAGAAACTTTATTTGTCTTGTTCTGCCACGACGTCCAGACTAAAAGACAGTCACGATCGGCGTGGCATTTGCCTGTTCAACATGGGGAGGCCCGTTTGACATGGGAGATCTGCAAGTGAGGCGATGAACTACAAAAAGAGCTACTATTGTTACACATGAAAAGTGTGTAGCTATGGGTTCTGAATATGACTGATTGTGCGAAAAGTTGTGGTCATAAACGTGGGAAGATGGATAAAACTATGGCCCCGCATACTCGCTTGGCAGATTGAAACACGGATAATTAGTGTTCAGACTGCTAAATACTATTGAAAATGATGTTATCACAATATTTTTGTAGCTAATATGTATGATTATTTTTAAAGGATTGGTCATCTTAGCAACTACGTTCAAAAAGGAGTGGGAAAATTATTTGGACGTGCATACGACTTGTTAAATAAGAAATAAAAATTAATTTTGCACAACAGATTTTGAGGTTTGTACATTTTTGTGTTTGTTCTAATGCTCGAATCTGTGACAGAACTTAGAAACAGCCCAACGAAAATCGTGATATGATCAAAGTTGGCTTTTACATTACCAGCCTACACAGACGATGTGCTAGCGTCGTCCATAACGAAAAGGGACAATGCTTCCACAAAACTGCTTCGAGGTATAAAACCTACCTGCTTTGTGTGCTGTCTGCAACCTGCTAACGAGTTTGGTAGTTCGTGAACTTGCGAGCGCGGCGCATAGCAACCAGTGAGCCCATCGTCACCGGATCGCTGATCTGTGCACTGCATGTTACTAAAGCTTGCGACTGGTTGGGAATAGACCCTTGGATAGCAGGATGTACAACCACAAGCCTTTCAACTCGTGTAGCCACGAATACTTATTTATGTTTGACAACAAGGTGGCCTCGAGCGCATCACCGAAACATAGAAACTATGTTGAAGGTATTAATCCACTCTCGCTTTTAATAAATTCATGGTACAACTCAGTGGCCTGTTTTCGCTCCCAGCCAAAAGAGAACTTCACAATGTGTGTAAAAGAAACGACAGTTGTATTTCACCCACGACCTCCTCACCACACCACGAAACTTGTACTGGGGAGACGTAAACAAACTGGAAAAATCATTCAAGATGGAGTCCGCTGCACAATGTACCCAACAGATCTAGCTTTTTCTTTTGCTTTTGACGTCATTTATTTTATGCAGTGTTTTGTGTATAAGAACACCAGAGCCTCATAATAAAATTCACATATTTCACTACAATAGAAATAAAAAGAAAAAATCAAAGATTAAGGGTTTTATGGCAAAACAGCGTCAATGGCCATACTATGCGAGTTATATCTTCAAGGTGCAATGCTGTATGGCATGAAGTTTATGCTCAAGTAATAATTAGAACAGGTTACACAAATAAAGGTAGCACAAAGGACGAGGGCAAGTAGAAGAACACAGAGACACGGACAATTAGAACTGGTGCAAAAGGTCAGTGGCTGCCACAAAATAAAGTAGTATGTGATCAAATGAGATACCAAAGAGAAACAGTGAAAAAAGCTTACCCTCGCCAGGCTTGGAGTCCCAACCAACCTTAGAAAAGATGGCACCCAGCAGCTGGCGTCCATAGGCATGAAAAAGTGGCTGGAAGTCAGTGTATGATAGCAACTGGTTCAGCTTGCTCAGACACGAGTTAATGGAACTCCAGACAATGTAGTTTTCTTCATCGGTATATGCCTTCATCAGGCACAAGACCTCCACGGTTGACTTGCGTCCACTTTGCACCTGTAAAAGCAACATCATTATGAATCAAGTGTAAAGAAACAAACATACCAGATTGCCCATTCTCTAGAAGTGCTAGGTGTCCACAAATAAATGCGATTTTCGTAAATTCTGCTGAGAAAATAGCAGTCAACGATGCCCAGAAAACACGAGTATGAATGGTGTCGACTACCGGGACCAAGCACCGGTTTTTCACTGAAAATTACTAAAAATTTTTTACAACTCTTGAATCGCATAAAGGCACGCTTCAAAACTTTGGCACCCAGTCTGAACCTCTTACAGCTGTTTTGGTCACCCTTGGGTATGCCCAAGGGCGACCAAAACTACTGTTGATGCCAAGTCGGCTCTCCTTTTTGTCCAATAGCATCTCTTGGTTTTGGTCATCATTTGGGGCGTGTCCCTTTACACCTCCGACTTCACCAATGGTGGCCTCATGTCACCTCCAGAAGTTACCTACCTCCACATCTGTGGTGAACCTGGAGCACTTCAACTATATGATTGAGAAAGAAGACATAACTCCCCTATAGTACGGGTCCTTTGTCAAGGCCTACACTTTGCAGTGCCCTATACGAGAAGTGACTCCAAGATCCAGTTTCACGAAACTAACGTATTTTACATATTTTTATTCAGATGAGGCCATTGATAACTATAGCAATCGTTCGCACAGTAAAAGTGATGAGGAACTACTGCATACAAAGAGGTATCATAATACAGTCAAACCCTTTTATGACGAACAGCAGGAAACACTACGATCAGTTCGATATAGAAAAAAACATTTACTACGAACTTCCACAATGCGTTCGCTGTAAGGCGAGAGCCCTCTCTTTCTTTCACACCTCTTCGCTTCCACCTTGTAACTAAACGTGCTAGAATTTTTTTTTTTTTTTTTTTTTTGCATATGTGCAAATTTTATTTATTTTTACCTTATTTACCTCTCTGAATTGCTTCTCTTCGTGGGCAACCACTTCAAGATAAAAAGCTTTTTTTTCTTTTTTTTTTTTTTGTACATGCGTGCAGTGTGTTTTCTTATAGTTTTCTCCCCTTCAAATCGCTTCTCTTCACTCCATTTTGTTCGTGGCTTGAGCTTTTTAAATTTTCTTTCTTTCCTACTTTTTTTTTTTGGGGGGGGGGGGGGGGGGGACAGGCTAAAATTTGATTGTTTGTGCGTTTTTGGAAGCCTTCCCGGGGGGAAAATTTCGATATAGCCAATGTGTTGTTCGTTATAAGTACTTCTTACATGCATTTTTAATTAACTTTTCCGTTAGTTCGATATCGACAATATTTCGCTGTACGTGGGTTCGTTCTAAACGTGTTTCATGTGGGTTCGTTCTAAACGTGTTTCACTGTATGGACTAGTGATCCAAGAAAAGACCGTGCAGCCATCGGCCACTGGCAACTTTGTTTACTTTACTGTCCTGCGGTACTATATGCTCCTCTCTTCCCCCTATCTACCATGTCTGTCTCTCTCTCTCTCTCTCTCATATATATCCCAGACTTATATCTAGAATAAAACATATTCAAACATTTCCTTTCTGCATGATAGTGTTCTGTGGCTAGCAACAATCATTTCCTTGCGAAGATCACAATTATGGCGCAATAGTTGACGGAGTAGCAGATGACACTCCTCGCTAGTTCTGGCGAAATGGCCAATACAATCTTTTTTCGCATTTCCCCGTTTGCTGTCAAGGATAAGAGGCCCGTTTCGCTTCAACCAGCAAAATATGGCCGCCGATGCCCGTTTACTGAGCAGTCATGCCTGTCACCACCTCACTCGCTGGCATCACGGGCGATAATATCAGGCACAAAGAGGCACACTGACAGACAGCAGAGCCCCGCGTAAATACAATAAAGTGTAAACACTGTCGCCATAATAACCCAGAAAGAACGTTGTCAGCTGCTTACACTGCTGCCGTCAACACTGACGAAGAATGAGATTCAGAAGATGATTCCACAGGCACCAATGTACCTCATCAGTAAATCCTGAAAACTCAAGGAAAAGCTTGGCATGTGGTATGAGCCGGATTCTTACACGAGGTGCAAGTTGAGCCCTGAGAACGTGTCTGCTGCCCTAGAGTCCCAACCAGAAGGATGCAATCTCTGCCATGCTCGAAGGGGAGAAAATGTTTGAGCCGCTTCCCAACACGCTCAATCCGAGAGGCCTTCCGCGTATACAAAGACAAGCATCCCGATTCCGGCATTGGGCTAACAAAAGTTTATTCCTTGCGCCCTCGATGGGTCAAATGTCACCAGGAAGTGTGCGCTTGTATGCGCTGCGCCAATTATTACCTTTGTATTGCCACTATAAAGAATGTTACAGGCTTTACATTCAACACTCCTGAAATGAAAGCAGCATTCCTGTGCAACATACTAACAGGTCTGTGTCTTCAAGGAGACTGTGATCACTGCCCAAAAGGCCCCAGTCTCTTTCACTCAAGGAACAATTCATATCCCAGAGGATGAAGAGATTGTGCTTGCAACATGAGAGTCCGGCGACCATGTGAAAAAAACATTGGATCCTGAGACTTTCCTAAAAGTCGTTCAAGTGACGGTTGGAAGTCGGATATTTCACAACCATATCCGACAAATGCCAGGTAAAGCTATCTACGATGAAAAGCAGTGCATGCAACGTGGGAGCATTGTCTTTCATGTTGACTTTGCTGAAAATTGGACCATTGTGCTTCCTGACGAAGTTCACGCATAATACTGGAGAAAAAAAAAGTTTCGATATTTACATGTGTAGTGATGACAAGAAAATCTACAAACAACTTTGCCATCGTCAGTGAGGACCTGGGTCACGACGCCACTTACGCTTTCTTAGCTCTAGAAAAAGTGAAAGAGTGGGTTGAAGACAACGCTGCGGTATACTCGCATGTGACATACGTCAGTGACGGGGTCGCCAGTCATTTAAAGAATCGCTACCAGCTTCACAAGTTTGCACAAAACGATTGCCCACAAGCCCAATGGTTATTTTCTGCATCTGGATATGGAAAAAATTCATGTGACGGAATTGGACTTGAGAAGCACCAGGCCACGCTGAACAACCAGAGAGAACGTTCAATAAATGCAATTCAGACGGCCAGGACAATGGTGAGCGTTCTATCCGAGAAACTGAAAGGCTTGCATCTTGTGTATCTAGACGAAAATGAAGTTGTTTGGTATCATGAACAAAAAGAAAAGAAGAGTGGCTGACAGTGTGCGCCTTCCCTGGCATTCAGTCTTGGCACGCGTGGCAGCTGTGCAAGTCATTAACAGAGGAGACCTGTGATGTGTATGTGGCGCAGACAGTCAGATCTGTTTGGAAGAAACTATGAAAGGGACACTGACACCCCCCAAAAATATTTTTTTCATTTTTTGCCAGGCGATTATGGTGTTGGAAGACTACCCAATTATTATTTTGCTACAGAGTCACATATATTTTTAATAAAGCCAAAAAACGCAATTGCTCGAAAGCGAAACCTCCGCATAGAGGTCGGAGAAATATAGAGGATGAGAAAGAGCCGAAAGTCACGTAACTACGCCCAACCGTGCGCTTTTTTTTTTTTTTGTCCCACGCGCAGCAGACGAAATGCATTGTGGGAATTGTTTGCCGTGCGATTCCTTTGCGGTTATGTTTGTTCCGCTCACTGTTCTGTACTTCAAGATGAGTTGTTATGTACACTGAAGAGTTGGAAATGAGTAGCAAGTGCCCTTGGTGAATTCCCGTGATCGGCTCCAAAAGAATACCCCCAAGATGTTGCGTGAAGAGCTGCCTCACATATGTCCTGCATCTGAAAGTGGCATTGTAAGGCAGAGTGCACAAGTTTTCGAAAGATCAACGGGATCAGGAACAATGGCTGGCTGCAATTCCTATAGAACAGTTATGGGCACCTCGGAAAGTGGAAGCTACCCGATTCATACGCACCTTGCATTTTGTGGAAAGTGACTACATTGAGTTCGCAGGTGTCAAAAAGGGAATCTCCTACCATTTAGTTCAGCGACGTATCGTCCAAAACATTTGTTTTTTTCAGTGATAATTGTAAAAAAAAGATATGTAAACGTTGCAAAATGTTTGACAAAAAAAAAAAGATAAGCTTACACTAGGGATTGAACCTGGGCCCACTGCATGTGAAGCGGACGTCTTTCCACTGAGCTACTGGGGGAAATCTTCGTGGTAATGCAGTCGGTCTGCTGTAGGTCGGAAAGTTTACTGCCGATTTTCCTCCAGCAAAGACACTCCCGGCTCGAAGTCGAGCAGCACCACACATTGGCCACATTCGCATCTACCGTAAAATCCCCGGCAAGCGCCCACTCAAAATTTAGAGATAATCGCGAAAAAATGGGGGATGGGCACTTGTCCGGTCATTAATTTTACATATAAATGTCCTGAGCATATTTTCTCAGATCTTACGAACTTGGGTATGGGCGCTTAGTGTGGAATGGGCGGATGCGCGGTATTCTACGGTAGTAAAGAAATCGTACGCATGCACATTCAACTCGAAGTACGCACTTCGTGCTTGACGCTTCCACGAACGACATCTTCGTGCAATCGGCTTAGTGGTCGGGCGTGTCGTACGAAATGAATACCAATTCTTTTGATCGGTCCAAAATTTTTCTTTCGAAGGAAGACAGATTCGCCGGTACCGCGAACGACAGTTCTGAAGTAAAGGTCCCACATCAGTCGTCCGCTGCCATCGCCGTCCAGCCCGCGAGACCCTTGATATGCGATACGATGCCATGTGGAGAATTACGCAGTGAACGCACAGAATGCTTCTGGTTCTCTGTGAAACTTTTTTTCAGTCAACGTATTTGCAGCTTTTCAGAAGCCACAAAAAATGGGTTTCATATTTTTTTCTACTTTTAATTTGCCACAATCCATTCATACACCGGAGTATCAAAGCTGCTCCAGTAAGGTGCGGTGGCACCGCTCACCTGAAATGGTTTGTCCCCGGAAATACATAGCTAACCCAAAAAATTTAAGTATTTTATCCTTATTTTTGTGCGTGGAAGTAAAGCTATTTCTTTTATTCTAAATATAAAATATATCGGAAAGTAAAACTTCACACTGCATCATCTTTTCTCGAATCACTAGCCTCTAATATGATACCTCTTTGTACGCTGATGTAAAATGCTGTATATAGTTTCTCCCCACTTGACTGTGTGACCGATTGCTCGAGTTATCAATGGTCTCAAGTGAATAAAAATATATGAAAGATCTGTTAGTTTCATGAAAAAGGAACTCAGAGTCACTTCTGGTATAAGGCACTGCTAAGTGTAGGCTTTGAAAAAAGACCCTACTTTGGGGAGTTATGTCTTCTTTCTCTACCAAATAATGCAATATGTTTTTAATAGAAATGAATGAATTATTAGAAATGAGTATGACAGGGTACCCAAATTTTAAAAAAATCAAAGGCAATGCCTTTTTTTATTTGCATTGGAATTTTTCGTTGTTTGTTTTCGTTGTTTGATCTTTTTCCCGATGTTTGCCTAAATATATCACGACTACCGTGCCACTGAGATTTCTAATTTATATATTAAATAATAGCCATATATAAGTAGAATACTATCTGAAAAGTATATGATGGTTATTAAATTATTTCATGAGATACAGGCCTCGAAATTTTGCCATTTGTTCCAGCAGGCATGTTTGGCAATTTTTAGAAAACATATAATGTAAATAAATATTACTACTATATGTTACAAGCGAGCTATACCCATAGCTTGTTTCTAAGAAGTATTAGAATTTTAATTTCATTGTTTTAGTTATTCACTTTCAAACGTGCCTCCTCTGTCAGTGCGTATTAATGCAACTGTCCAACTCCCATGCCTTACGACTTTTCCTGTCCCCAAATATTTTTTCTGGTCAAAACTAAGTGTGGGTTCGTTTATACCAGACACATAAAATGGCATACAAAAACATCAGTTGATTTAAAAATGTCGACAGCCACCCTTTGGTCGATCTTATCTGAAATCACCCTGCTATGTTCCACCCACTGCCAGTGTAACCAACGTAGGCTACGAGCACGAGATCAGCTACGAGATTTTTCTCACAGGACGAGCGCCTGGGCTGGAGAAGTATGCAATGCGCAATGCAAGTAGTAGCCGAGTAGCTAGGAGAAGCGAGGAGCACGCATACGCACGGGCTAGCGCCACACCAGCTACGCCCACAATAACAATGTCACGCAACACAAAGACAATAAAGATGTATTTACATGTATTGATACTATTTTCATAGCTTATAACTTTTGATAGGCTGCTTTTAAATAGGTTTTAAATAAACAAATTTTGCAACAAAAGTGTTTAGTCACCGTGACCTTTTTACTGAAAAACTACATTCAAATCAGACAAGCTGATTTTTTTTTATTTTTTTTTTTAATATATATTATAATATGTATGTAATATTGATTTATATTGCCTATTTATAACTAACAAGATGGCATCACTTTTATTACGTCACTTCTGGCGTCGGAGGAGTGGATTTTATATAGGCGTCCTTCGTCCGACGAGAGTCAGAGGAAGTGCGGCCGTAAAATATTCGGGGATCTCCGGGGCTGTTTATAACTGGAGTTAAGTTGAAAAAGCACCAGTAGCCCCATAGACCCACAGCAAAATTTTGCAATTTAATGGCGCCCATAAGCACAACCACCGGTGAGCAGTTGAACACACTCTTACTCTCTATGCGAAACAAGCGTGACCATCGGGCAATAGAGTGGGTATTTTAACGCTGGTGTGGCCTGTGTGGTAATGTAAATAGGATGCATTTATTTAGGATTGACAATGATCAAGTTTAGCTCATGACCAATGCAAAATAACATTATCCAGATGAAATTACAAACACCACAAACCTTAAACAAACTTTTACAGTTGAAAATCAGCCTCTTTAATCAGTGTTCAATGTTAGAAGGACGAAAATTTCAAAAGGTCACATACTTGTTTGGTATAGTCTGGTGAAGACAGCCATTGAAAACCTGATTCTGTTAACACCTGAAGTGGATTAGCTCACCTAGCTCCTCCTGGTTTGGTTACTGACTGACACACACTACGTGCTAACTCTTATAACTAATCCAGAGCTGCTAAACTAGGCCATGCTGGCAGGCTATTGCAGCACCACTGCCAACTTTATGTAAGCATTAAAAATACTGGTGATGCCAATAATATTAATTAATATTCCAGATAAACTTGGAGCTATTTTGTGTACCAGAAGATAAAGAAAAGAAAATTAGGGAATTTAAAGCAAATGTGCTTCACCATTGTTTCTTCTGTATGCTCAGTGAAAAGTTGGTTGAACAACTTGCTGAATTTTGCAAACCTGCTCGAACCCATATTTCTAAGAATTTGTAGCACCTCTACTACCACACCAGAGAATACAGCGCATCTGCCCATACCACATTAAGCGCCCATACACAAATTTGTAAGATCTGAGAAAATATGCACAGTACATTGATATATAAAATTGATGACTGGACAAGCACTTATCCCCAATTTTTTCACGATTGTCTCTAAATTTTGAGTGGGCACTAGCCCGGTATTTTATGATAGTTCTCACAAACCCAAATTTACGTTGGGAAAGTATAAGAAAATTAATTTTCGGAGAAGTAACATTTGATTCACTTCCAGGCCCTCTCGATGTTATCGACCGAGAGGTGTCTCGGAGAGGAATGCTCGTAGGGTGGCCATTTGTCAAATTACAACACAGTAAGTTTGAATAAGCAGCAGCATAACCATAACCAGCACAGCTTTCTGAATTTTTTTTTTTTTTCATTCATTGCATAAATTTATTTACATATGAAATTAGGTTCAATCCTTCAAACAACCAGGTTATATGTACCTGTAGGCACACTTGTTTTATCATTCAAACAGTGCACCCCAACGTAAAAAAATAAGGGCACTATTAGTTTTAACTTTCCGAGTGGGAGTGGACATTGCATATAGACAACAAAAGGGCATGCACTATGCTGCCAATGCAATAGGGAATCCAGACCTAGTCAAGCTCTTTGTAACAGCTTTTTGTCTGAATTTCCCTCCAGACGCTTCTGGAAAGTGAAGCCCGATGGATTAAGTGAAAAATGTGAATTGCAAACTGGAGGTCTGAGACTCACCAAAGCGACCATGTCATGTAGGAGACCGAACCTGTCGAGGGGAAGCAATTCCTTGTTCTTCACAGCGGGGATCAACTGGCTCAGCATTTCAGGACTGTAATGGGTCCGATAACATCCAACAGTGCCTAGGTTCAGCTGAAAACAGGGCGGTGAAAAAACAGCAATGTGATTTAAATCACAATTTAAATCATGCTTTAAATTATATCTAAATCATATTTAGATCACATGAATTTTCATAAATCGAAATCTCAAAAAACATTTGTACTAAGATTGGAGTCTCCGCCATTCATCGAAACACTGTTTTGTGACTTAGATTCAAGAGTTCATTTAGTAATAAAAATTAGTTGTCAGGGTGGAGAGAAAAACAAAGTGGTCAACCCCTGAGGCAAACACAAACAGTGTTGTTGAGAGCTACAATTTAAATACATACTTCAACTAAAAGGGGACGGTAATATAAAGGGCACAGTTGAAGAGAGAGGTGTCTCAACGGCACCGCATCGCCATGGGAAAAGTGTGGCAAAGGTTTGCTCGCATTCCAGGGAAACGTCATGAGATGGCACAACTGTCAAGGGCCATCTTAAAAAGCACCTAAACAAAAAGAAAAGTATTTTTTTTTTAACAGTCTAAAAATTAATTTTACGCAAAAAAAAAAAAAATTTCGAGCAATACTGATGGCGCAAGATTATTTGAAATTCTGCGCGCAAAGTCCATGACGTCACGGAATGGTCATATGCTCTTTCCACCTCAGCCTCTCTCCACCTCAACGAGATGGCCAAGCTGATCCACCTCTCCTCCACGTACCCGAAATGCCGGGAGAGAAAACAAGTGGAAAGGAGGTGCCTACTGACTAAATTGTGACTAAATCGCGTATTGCGACATCAATATTGCTCTAAAAAAATTTTTTACGTAAAATTAAATTTTGACATGCATGTTTAAAAAAAAACTTTTTTCTTTTCAGGTGCCCTTTAAGAGCATCAGAGAGTCAATGAGAGCCACTCGAGCGACCATTCTTATTCGCACACACATTTGCAAGGCCACATGGTGTGCCATTTTGCGATTTTGGCCATTAGGCCATTTTGGAGCACCTTTTGGAGCAGCCAGAACAGTGTTTCCGAACAGCAAAAGTGGCTTTTGGAGCAGATATTCTTAGAAAAGTAAACATTTCTGTTTTAAGTGCTGTACAAACGACGGTCACTTTGTACTGTGAACTCGCTGCTTGTGTTTTTACTGCTGAGACATCCCACAAGTGTACAGTGCTGTAAGCATTGCCGAGCAATTCCCAAAAACCACTTGCCACCGTTTTACTGGTTCCCAATGTGCAAGATTTTCATCAAAAGTAACCAAACATAAAACAATGGATTGCAAGTGTCCCAGCTGGTGCCTCTGTCATGCAATCATGTTTGCATGCACATGAGGGCAACTTCAGCAGGCTTGCAGTTGCGCGCACTTCGTCGCAAGAGTGGCGACAACGGCTGTCCGATCAAAACCGAAACCATGCCACTCTGCTCCGTCGCCAACTGATTCCCAAAACTGTATACAAATGTAACTGTTGAGAAAACAACAAAAAATTGGGCGGCATGCTATGTTCCCAAGAAGCATTAAAACACCACTTAAAAAGTGAAAGCCGTTTACCACTCCCTGTAACGCCGAATTGGAGCGCAGCTCTTGAGGAGGAGGAGGGGAGGGTACTGAGGGCCACGTGTTCTCGGGGGGGGGGGGGGGGGGTCACGTGCCCCCTCAGAGGTCACGTGACCTCGGGAGGGGGTCACGTCTCCCCAGGTCACGTGACCCCCGGGTCACGTGACCAAAATTTTTCCGCTAGATTTAGCGGGGAAATTTTTTCCGCTAGATTTAGCGGGGAAAGTTTTCCGCTAGATTTAGCGGGGAAATTTTTTCCGCTAGATTTAGCGGGGAAATTTTTTCCGCTAGATTTAACGGGGAAAGTTTTCCGCTAGATTTAGCGGGGAAATTTTTTCCGCTACATTTAGCGGGGAAATTTTTTCCGCTAGGATTTAGCGGGGAAAGTTTTCCGCTAGATTTAGCGGGACAATTTTTTCCGCTAGATTTGACGGGGAAATTTTCCCGCTAGATTTAGCGGGGAAATTTTTCCGCTAGATTTAGCGGGAAAATTTTTTCCGCTAGATTTAGCGGGGAAAGTTTTCCGCTAGATTTGACGGGGAAATTTTTCCGCTAGATTTAGCGGGGAAATTTTTTCCGCTAGATTTAGCGGGGAAATTTTTTCCGCTAGATTTAGCGGGGAAATTTTTCCGCTAGATTTAGCGGGGAAATTTGTTCCGCTAGATTTAGCGGGGAAATTTACCCACAATGCACCGCGCGGTTACGCCGACGGCGACGGCGACGGCGACGGCGACGCCGCTCAAGCCGGGAACGGGCCCCTAAGAGCTGCGCTCTAAAAACAGTCCAGCGGCACATGCTTGCCAGGCCGGCAAACAAGAAACAAGCTAATCACACACACACACACACAAAAAAAAAAGAACCTGAGCGCATCGATTCAAGACATCACGAGACACGAGTCAAAACGATCTTGGAGCGCTTTGTGCAACGACTGAACTCGAGACAAACAAGCGCGCTGTGCGGGTTCAGCGTGCAGACATTGCCTTCTTTGCTTTAGCTCACTTCTCTTCAACTTTCTTTTGTGGCAGATTTTTCATGTACCTAGGTTCGTCTTGAAAGAAAGCCTACCGAGAGAAACCTAGGTAATCAATACTTCGACACAGCAGTCTTTGAGTTAAAGAGGTATTTTTGTAGTAACGTACGACTTAAACAAGAACAGGAATGTTGATGAACATGCGGCGGTACTTAGTTTCATTTTAGAAAGTCCATATCTGCAGCGACGTGGGGACGACAACACCCGACGTCGCGCGATCACGATGACTGGAAGGCAGGGACCAAATATAGTTTTCCCACGGCCGTTGCTTTCCGGAGCGAGTGCTTCATCTCAGAAAGTGACGCCCACCGCGGAAAAACATGGTTTCGTTTCACAGCACGACGGCATGGCCGGTACCCATAACGCTAGCATCGGAGCGTCCGTGCATGCCAGGGTCTATCGTTGAAAAAATTTTAAAAAGAAGCGAGACGAGACCCACGAGACGACGAGAGCAGGAAACGAGAGACGGCGGGAAAACCATGCAGGATCGGATGGACGAATGATGAAGGGTACTTTGTGTCGGGCGGCCGCTTGCACCACCTAGCTCACGCATACTCAATGACGGTACTCGGTTCAGTTCCGGTTATGAAAGGCGACCAAAATTGGTCCTTTGGTGCAGGCTTGTCACAGATTACCCATATTTTGGCAAAATATAGTAGGATGTGGCCGGGTTAGGCCCATTTGGCGCAATTGGCACAGCAATCACATCACAGCATATTTTATTCTGTCTATAATATTATTTTGTCTTAATATTTGAAACAGGAACCTTAGTCTTGATATTTTGCCCCTTTTCTCAAGTGGTGCTAGTTGAGCTAAATTGCATAAGTAGGACGGTTAATCAAAGTAGCGAAATTTATTAAAAATGAATCTTGCAGCCAGGTGCTGCACCTTTTCTAAGTACAGTATAGACCACTTACAACGTAACCGCTCACAGTGCAGGACCGGGTATAACGCGGCTTTTTTAAACCACCGGTTCGCCTCCCATAGAACTCCATGTAATTACATACCGCTTGAAATGCAGGCGTGCGAAGGGAAATACCGGTTATAGTGCGGTTTCTGGAACAGCCCGCCGACCGACCAACGCAGCGAGCACACTAGATAACGGCGCTAGCCGCAAGCGGCACACGCGGGGCAGGGAGGGTGCTCGAAGAAGCGGGGAGAAGCGAAGAGAGAGGCTTCAGTTGCCATAGCGACGGAGGGACGCACGCACGTGTCGTTCACCCGCGTTTTGGGTTATGGGGATATTTATACAGCGTGTAGTTGGTCAGCCATTAAAGTTGTGACGAGTCACACGCTGTAGATGAGCAATTTAGCCAGTGCAGTACAACAGCTAGCCTGGGGTCTTTAACGCGTACCACGCAGTAGTGATACACGACCGCAAGCCGGTACGATGCTCATCCAGATCGAAACGGGCAGGGGTGGGGCTCAAACCCAGGATCCCTTGGTTCTGCAGCGCGAGCTTTCGCTCCACGCGCGTCGAGCTGGGTGTGCGCTTTAGCCCACTCGGCCACCGATCCCCCATTCACGTGCGTGCGTCCCTCCGCTGCGTTGGAAAACAACCGCAACGACAGACCAATCGCAGGTCGAGGAAAAGTGTTTGCGCGCGTTGCATGCCGGTCGCGGGCCAGCTGCTTCTATCCGCAAACATGGCGTCGGTTGTAATCGCCGACGTAGACGGCGTGGTGGAAGCTCATCGTTCCGCGTAAAAGCGCTATCCTTGACTGTGAATTTTCGTTGTGTGAGCGAATAACCCAGCACATACTAGTAGGGTAGATCCACCTACTCGTGCTGCGATGTTGTGGCGGCACTCTTTAAGACGGCAGAAACGCCCGTGTCGTAGTGTTTGTTTACTTCGACTACAGTGGTGCTTTCTAAGCATTTGTGTTTTCGAACATCGCCCAGATTTCTTATTTGGAGCATTTCATGCCTGTGCTCAATTTGAAGGTATTACTGGCGCGTACCGTATTAAGGATGTGAATTTTCAGGCGTTTTTATCACCGGAGAAAAGTGATTAGGGTTAGCAATCCTGAACGCTCACAACGTCCGTCCGCAACCCGCGACGCCGTTAAAAGGCTGCGCCAGGCGAAAGTCGCTCATTTCTTTCAAAATGCGTGACACACTTGAGAGGGAAGTGTACTTGTCTGGTGAAATAAAGACTTTCTTCAAACTAAGCTTTATTTTTCATCTAACATAAAATAAATTCTTTTACAAAGGTAAGTTGTCTCATGGCATGTATTTTGGCCTGAAAAATTGATGTTTTGGTTATAGCGCGGTACCGGTTATAGTGCGGATTTTCGCGACTCCCGCGACATACATTATACGCGGTCTACACTGTTACCATTTTTGTATGTTCTTTGCATTTTTCTTATATCTGAATTAAGGTATCTTTAGCAGCATTTCAAACTTCGAAATACTTCGAAAAGATTGTAAGTTGCCAAGTAGGTTTATTCTATTAGAACTTCGAACTTAATATGGTATTATTCACTTCGATATTCGAAAGTTGCGAATATTCACACAACCTTCACTTTCACGGTCATCTCAAGTCAAGTCAAGTCAAAATGTGTTTTTATTTGTACACAAGATGTTAGATAATTACACTTATTCAGACGGGGGTCCCAAAGTTTTCAAAAGAAAACTGTTGAAGGGACCCCTTGGTAATAAAGGGTTAGTCAGCGATCAAGTTAACACCATTATATATAAAATAAAAAAACAAAAACAAAAACAAAAAACGAAACACAATTGTGGTATCTACATACTCAAAATCATCCAGTGATTTCCCTACACACCCACTTGGGGGAAGGGGGGGGGGGGGGGGTCCCCCCCCCCTTGTTTTTCTGAAGGCACTCCCTTAATTTGCAATGACTCCTCTATTCTCAATGCCCACCCCCCACCTAAAAATTTAGACACCCCCTAATTTCAATTCCTGGGGAAACCCCTGGTCTCATCTAAATAAAATGTTCAGTGCTCCTCACCTTTACCCACTCAGTTGATGAAACCCCTTCAAGCACAACATCTGTTGAGGAAGACTCCAGCAAAATCTGCTTGGCAACTGCTGTTGGATCCTTAGAGGTGACGATGCTGATGGGAACCATCCACAAAGATCCATCTTCTGAAGAAACCAAGGAGAATAGAGAAGCTGACATAGATGTTCTCTGTCAAAAGCGTGCACAACTGTGGTGGAAGTGTGTCGCATTGAAAGAAAGCAGGATGGCATTAACAAAGAACCAGTTGGCGAATTTGCTGCAGCACGATATGCAGTCTAATAAAAGGGGAAAAAAAAGTATGAAAGAAAGGAGCAATAAGACAACACCTAGATAACAAGGCAATAGTGTTGAACTTTCGGCAACCCCGAAAGGAGGCCAACATGGGCCACAGATGGGACACAAGTGCTATGTTAGAGTTCAGCTGGGACTAGTGCCCTCATTCATGAAGCAGGAGTCCCGCCGAATATGCCACCACTATATATATATACAGGGTGTTTTTTTCTATTCTTACAGATTTGTTTAAAAAAAATATATGAAAGCTACACTAATGCGGTTTGTGCAGGTGGGTTATACGACCAGGTGGACATTATGTGGGTGACTAATCTTTGCGATAAGTCGGTTAATTAATTAAAATTCGTTAATTAACTTTTTAATTAGTGGAAATAGACATATAGTCACAATTAGAAACTTGTAGAGCATCATTGAAAAACACTAAATCATCTGTTTCTGGAAGGATATAACGCCAGGGAAGCATTTTACGACGTTCTGTAAAAGCGTTCCATTTGGACGCGTTTCTAGATTTCGGTTTCTTATCGGAGCGCATCACCGCGCCCGCGGTCCTGCTCCCCAGTGGCTGAGACGCGCAACACACGTGCGCCCTACTTCCCTCCATTCTACGAAGGAGGCGAGGAGGTGGCTTCGCGCCGCGACCACCGGGAAGCAGGATCGCGGGCGCGTAGATGCGCTCCGATAAGAAACCGAAGTCTAGAAACGCGTCCAAATGGAGTGTTTTTACAGAACGCCGTAAAATGCTGCCCCGGCGTTATATCCTGCTAAAAATAGTTGATTTAGGGGTTTTCGATGATGCTTAGCAAGTTTCTAATTGAAACCATATGTTTATTTTCAGTAATTAAAAAGTTAATTAACGAATTTCAATTAATTAGCTGACTTATTGCAAAGATTAGCCGCCCACATAATGTCCGCCTGGCCATATAGCCCACCTGCACAAACCGCATTAGTGTAGCTTTCACGGTTTTTTTTTAAACAAATGTGTAAGAATAAAAAAAACACCCTGTATATATATATATATATATATATATATATATATATATATATATATATATATATATATATATATATATATATATATATTGTTTTTGTATAAAGCGTTGGTGGTCGCTCTGCACTTTTACAGCGTTATTTTGTTTTTAACGAACGTCAACACAGCACATGTCTCCAGTGTCCCCGTTGGCCTCCTTTAAAGGGGCACTGACACATCAAAATCGTAATTTATTTTATTATCCGAAACGATTGAAAATGATGCCGGGACATTACCCTCAAAATTCGAAACTTGGGAATTCAGTATTCGTGAATCAAAAAAACAATTTCCAAATGCCGAAGTTGAAGTTCCCGCGCTATCCGCGCCAGTGCAGTGAGTCAAATTTTGCGGTCTCCTGCGACTCGACTTTGTTTCGGACCTCCGCACCACGCTATGAAGCAAAGCGCCGTTGCTACCGCGACCCGATGAGAGGAGGAGGTGAGCAGGCGGGATAGAAGGGAGCCGGCACGGGGAAAAACCGGTTTCTTACCCGACTCGGCGATAAGCCTCTGCTCGAGCGCCGCCAAGTTTTCAGAGGGAGAACACAAATCCAGGAAGCGACATCACACCAAAATCTGATTTTTGGTATTTCAAAAAGAAAGGCCGTTGTGTGTTCGTCACTGCGTTAAAAACATGTTTTACGATTGCCATTATTAAATGTTATAGAAATGTTGCCTACAAAGCTTCTAAATTTCCTGATTTTTGACGTCACCGATCAAAAGAAGCAAGGAAGTAAGCGGGGGAAATATAAATGCCAAAAATAAAAAGGCGCGCGCTCGCGCAAAGAAATTTTTTTTCGCGATGCGGTTTTTTTTGCGTGTCTATGACTACAACTTGCATTGTTTTAGACAATAAAAAAGAGTACGACCTTTGGGGTGTCAGTGCCCCTTTAAAGGTGCACTCCGGTAATTTTTCATGGTCTCTGATTTGCCTTAAAGGGATACTTCAACGAAATTTGAAATATTCCCGTCGTGTTCAAAAATAGGTTGGATATGATCCACAATATCCGTAAATGACAACCACACGTTTGTTTTTTGAGCCTGGTGGCTGTATTTTTCGTTATAAACGGCCCACTCTGGCAAGCGCTCGGCGAAGGCCCAGCGGAGACCACGTGACATCCAACGCAATCGTGATGTAGGTCGTCTGAGGACGAGCAAAGCTACGGCGAGGCTGACGTCGAGAGGATGGCCTAGTCGTTCCAGTCACCGAAGCGGCTGCTTTTGTATGAATTTTGAGTGACGGGTTAATCTTCTGTAATCTTGTAGGGGGACAATAGCGACTTGTGCGACACAGAAAAGGCATTCTCGGGAAGAGGGGTGTTCCTCCTGCCCCTCTTCTCTCGTCGTAGCCGGAGGCGAGACAGCTACCGTCACTACCTGTCAAGGCTCCTAGACGGGCATTACAAGCGAGGCGTTAGCAACGTTCACCAGGTGCTCTTTGCTAATCGTTTAATTTGTTTTAAAATTCCTTTTGTGACTTTTTTTAACAAGATATTGGTATGTTCGATGTCCTTTGAACACATATAGGCCAAAAAATGAGCGCCGAAATTTCGTTGTAGTATCCATTTAAAATTGGCTCAACAGACCGATAGACACAACTGTACCAGTTCCCCAAATATTGTGGAAAAAAAAAAAACACATTTCGCGAAGGTATTGAATTTTCAAATTTCGTTTTCATTGTGGTTCTCAAACCCCTACTGGCAACACTGAAGTGTGATGTCAGAAATGGTACAAAATGGGCAGTAAGCCACGTTCCCAACTGGTTACAAGGTGTTAGATGGTGGGAAAAGAATACTTGGTAGCTGATTCACCAAAAAGCATGCAAAAAAACGCTAGTCATACTCAGTTTAAAGATTATCTGCGCGACCTGAAGGTATGTACCATTTGTGGCGTCCCACCACTGGAGCACGCTCAGAAATTTGAATGTTGGTTTCGGCACCATCTTCATTTACGGTTTTCTCACTTTCTATTCTGAATTCTGAGAAAATTAGTAGCCTACCGTTAAGACTGAAGTCCGGGTATTCAGAAAATGCAATTAGTTTGGGTAGCTCAAAAAACGGCCGGAGTACCCCTTTAAGTAGCAACGAAAATTCACCACTACTGCCTCGCTATCAGGTGTTGAATGGGAGCCAGAGTAAAGGGAAAGAAAGAGTAAAAAAACAAAATAATCCAGTATTCCGTGAGTGATAGTACTTCCACCACACTTTCAATCACATGATGCCGGCTCCTTAAATGCCTTTCACGAAAGTAGACAATGCATGACCATGCATCATAAACATAATTATCAGAACTCTGTTACATACTTGAGCTCTTTCTGTCGGCGCTGAACTTCTCCTGAGTCAACGACAAGATCCTGTTGTCCCCGTCCTGACGACTAGAAACCTGCAAGTGCGGCAAGGTAACAAAGTGCAAACTTAAAAAACAGGAAGCCGACAGTAGGAACTATAAATAGCCTTCCAGCATAGTCCTCACCGAGATAACAGGATATCCTTTCTGTTTCACCCAAGTGTCCATTATGGCCTCCACTGGCATACCGCAGGCCTCGGACAAGCTGTGCCACAAATCTTCCGTGGTTGTGTTGGAGTACAAGTGCTTTGTCAAGTATAAGTGCATGCCTTTTCGAAAGTTCTGCAAAAAAAAATAACAACAACAACAAACCGGATGATGAAGCAGACTGCAATGAATTCATTCAGCACTGGCAATTTTGCACAAAGTTTTCCCTTTAGATAAGAAATAAAAAAAGTTCTGAAGCATTAGCATATTTTTGCGACTTCACATATGTTTCAACAAAATTGTCACTGTCAATTAATGTAAATGTGAATCAACAGTCAGTTGACAAAACAGACCTTGTCTCCGATGTGGTTGTGAAGCATCCTGATGACAGATGCACCTTTGTTATACGATATGTCATCAAATATCTCATCGATCTCGGAGGGGTGTCGCACAGGTACCTGCAAATTGTATTCAAGTATTAGAGTTACAAGAAAACAGGCCCCCCTTCCAAATCTTTGATGACTCTTAGATACCTCAATGGGATGGCTGTTATCCAAGGCATCAAGCTCAAGTGCTTGAGAGTAGGTCGCGGTGACAAACTGAGTCCAGATGTCAAACTCCGGAAACAAATGATCAACACAAAGGTACTCTATAAAGCTTGCAAACCCCTCATTCAGCCACAAGTTAGTCCACCATTCCTGAAAAAATTTCATGGAAGTAAGATAAAATGCTTGCACACAGCTATTGCAGGGAGTATCTCCCTGCACACAACCGCTTTGAGTCGTGTAAAAAGCTACTCAACCAAACAACATACAGTAGTTGGAAAATACCGATTCTATTGCGATTTATGAGCACAAACAGCCGAATGCGAGAATGCATAAAAACAGACATTTTCAGATAAGCACAACCTTTACCACCAGTGTGATGTTCCTCTTTAAAGTCAACAAGACTGCTGGGATTGAACCAACCCAGTTTAGGCTGTAGCTCATGAGAAGCGAGTAAAATAAAAACGACTGAACAATATATGAGTTCAGACCTAATAGACAATATCTCAACCAACAATATCTGAACGAATTTAGTACAGAACTACTAAGTGAAAGACAAGATATCTGCAAAACGGAGGAAACACTGTTAAGCATTCATACTTGCTGTAGTGGTTTAACACTTAATACTGTTCTCATATGCTGTAGTGGTTTAACACTTTTAATACTGTTCTCACATGCTGTAGTAGTTTAAAACTTTCAATACTGTGATGTAATCTTTTAATAGATAACATTGGACTGATAATGTTACATCGCAGGACCTTGTAAAACCCCTCGGATGCCAACTCCAGCACGCATCAACGTAGACAATGTCCATTCGGCTGCTCGGAGATTAAACAGAAACAGAAAGTAAACACAACATCTCGCCCCTATTTGGAAGGAGTCTGAAAGAGGTTGCTCGCTAGCACTGTTCCACAAGTCTTTTGAGTCTTAGCCGCTGTCAAGTGGACGACGAGATGGCTGCGAAATTGCCTGCTTTGGAGTAGTCTCCTTCTCGAAAACATAGCTGGTTACTGGCAGTTTCTTTAAAAATGTCTTCGTGACGGCAAACCCTCTTTCGTTCCTTGCTTGCAGCAATGACAGTGCTTCCATTGGTGGCAATAATGGTCAAACATTCTGGGTCATCTGCCGATTTATGTTTCCGTCTTGTTTCACACTTCTTCAAAACATCTTCCCCCCACAAAGAATTCACAATGGTGCACATGTCTGTGCTTATCAGCATATGCTTTCATGTTCTCCTTTCTCTGATAATTTTCTGTTTGTTTGCTGGAATTCTGGTGGTATAGCAGTCAGTAGCAAACCTTTGGCAGGTAATTGGCCTGTAGCGAGATGAGGAGTTTGCCAGTAGCTAGCAAGGTATGCATCCAGTTCCATCTCAAGATCCTTTGCCTCTAGGTGAGCTGTCTGGATGAGTTTCAAAAGAGGCTTCATAAACTTCTCCACAGACCTATTGGCCTAAAGAGAATACGGAGTCACTTTCCTGTGATAAAAGTTCAGTTCTGTAACAAGAGATGCCAGGTCCTTGCAGCTGAAGGGTGGACCATTGTCTGACTTCACCACATACGGTGTGCCAAAGATAATAACAAGTAGTTTCTTGACTGCAAGGGGCCTTTACCACATCTGATGGGCTCGTCGATAATAACAAGTAGTTTCTTGACTGCAAGGGGCCACGTACGTCGATGACCACCTCGGACCATGGTTGCTCGGGGAGCTTGGTCATGTTGAGTGGTTCCCGGTGCAACCTCTCGTCAACATGCTTGGCATGGAATGCAGACCTGTATGATTTCAGTGCAGAGATTGTTCATTTTCGGGAACCATAACTTTGTGCATAGAAGCTGTTTTGTTTTTACCATTCCTTGATGGCCAACATGAGCCAGCTGCACTGCACATATATATCTGAACAGGTCCAAGGAGCAGGATCCTTGTGCTACGAAGGAGGATGTTGGTCTGTGTGGCGAGCTCTACGTTCACCATTTTTAGCGCATTGCTGTCCTTGGTATCCCCGGGGGAGGAGGATTCCTTTTCCAGTACATGCCAGACATTTTTGTCAAATGGTTTCAGCTATGGCAACGTAGGGCTCATCTGTACTTGCTCGAACCTTGTTAAGAGAGAGTGCCGTAGGCTAGGTTGTTTCCAGGGCGAGGCAAACAAACTCTTCAGTACAGCGTTGCCGATCTTTGGGTACCTCAACAGGAGGTCGGGAGTAGTAGTCTCCAGGGTTGTGATCTACAGGTTGGTAGTGCACCTGAAAATCATACAGCTGGACATCAAATCACCATCGCTTAATCCGGGGAGGGCTATTAGTCGCCTTGGTTCAGAATATAGTTGTCAGAGGTTTATGGTCAGTTAAGACCACAAACGGTGCTCCATAGATGTGAAAGTGGAAATGCTCACAAGCCCCGACTATGGCAAGGGCCTCTCATTCGGTTTGCGAATATCTTTGTTCGGTTGATGTGAGCGAGCAACTGGCGTACAGCACTGGTCTTGCATGGGGGTCGTCATGACTGCGTTGGGTGAGTACTGCACCCAGTCCAACAGGGCTGCGTCAACAATCAGTGTTGTTTGTGCCTCTGGATGGATGGATGCAAGAGTAATTGCATTTGTGACTGCTTCACTGACTTGGTTGAAGGCACCTTTTTGCTCTAGACACCACTGCCAGGCAGTGTCCTATCGAAGCAGCTTTTAAGTGGGGAGGAGACAGTGCCAAAGTCTCATACGAAGGTAGAACAGTATGTCGCAAACCCAAGCAAACTCCTCACTTCCTTGACAGACTCTGGGGTTGGTGTCTTCTGAATGGTTGCCACTTTGCTGAATGAAACCTGGAGTCCTTTCACTGCCAAATATAAAGCCAAAAAAACTCTAGTATGGACTGATGAAAAGAGCACTAGGCTGCGTTCAATGCGAGGCCGGTTTGCTTGAGTCACCCTAGTGTTGCACGCAGGGCCTCGTCATGCTCCTCTTGTGCAGCCATGGACAAGGATGTCGTCACTTGTGTTGAGTGTTCCCGGTATGTCCGCAATAAAATTTGAGATTGCTCGTTGGAATACATCAGCAGCCGACAACTTTCAAAGAGCCGCTTGTACCTGAACAGGCCAGATGGTGTGGTAAAACTGGAGATTATGCGAGATTTCTGGTCAACCTCCAGCTGGTGGTAGCCATGTCGCAGGTCAATCTTCGAAATCACCCTTGTGTGTGTTAGCCCAGGAGCCATGTCCTTCAGGATCGGTGTAGGATGTCACTCTCTGGATGGCCACCTTTGCCTTGCACATGTCCATGCAGATGCAAACTTGATTTGGGTCTGATGATTTTAGAACAATTGCTATTGGGGAGACTCATGGGGTAGGACCTTCCACCGGTTCAATGATGTCCGCAGCAAGTAGGGCTTGAAATTTAGCTTCCACGTTCGGTCACATACGAAAGGGTACTCGAAAGGGTTTCTGGGCTACCGGAGGCAAGTTAGGGTTGATGTGGAGGTGCAAACACATCCCATTGAGCTTGCCTATCCCGTTGGCGAGCTCAGGGTATCCTTGGAGCGGGTCAGGGGTACTCAATCAGTGCACAATGCGTAGCAAGTCCAATGCAGTGGCTGACTCGCGACTTAGTAGTGTTGCTAATGGGTGGCTGTTTTTTGCGCATATACGACCGTTTGGCAAAACTGGCCTTCATTGCTTAGCTCCACCGGTAATTCACCAAGAATGTGCAGAGGCTTGGAGGATCCAAACGAATAGCCCCGACGAGTCGAAGCTTGCAGAGAAGGCTTCTTAGTGAGCGTGTTGAAAGTGTGCTCACCCAGGGTGTTGACAGTTGCACCAGAGTCGATGATTGCCTTTGAATTCCAAAAGTGCCACAGCTGATGGATACTTGTGCCAACTTCTTGTGCTGGCCGTCGGTGTTGAAGGTGGAGTCCGAAGAGGCCACTCTTGTTATAGCCACGTACCACTAGAGTGACAAACAGCAACAAACAACAGCGACAACAAGCGACAAACGACACCAACAGACAGCCTGTTGTTGGAGTCCGCCGTCCCACCTGACGGACAAGACGCAGAACACGAGGACAAGGAAACTCATTTCGTAGTGGGACTGGAGTTGTCAACTAAACACTTCAATGTACAGACAAACAGAGTCGGGCGATTCAGCTTTCTGTGTTCCACTCTGGGAGCTAAATGCGCCGACAAACGCAGTGAAAGTAGAGACGATTACTTCCTTTCTTCATTAAAACTTTTGTTTAGTCTTCATATGCCACTAGCGAGTTTCCGAAAACTGTCGTAACTATCGACACCAAGCCTTTTCCGAACTAGAATTCCCGAATCGTTCCTTGTTTGAGTAGTTGGAAGCATTCAAGGCAAGTGCTGCAAAATTTCCCGCCAATTTCAAGGATGTTTATATTCAAATGATCGAGGACAGGCGTTTTTCGGGGGACATACAGCATCCTGACTATCATAGAGTGCGATGAAAAGCATCTTGCCTGCCAGAATGGCTTGCCGGAAAGTCGTGTCCTACTTCGTGGTGACCGATCTCAGCTTGGTCAGCCCTCGGATGTCAGCGTATCCATCTTGATGCAGGGACGTAGACCTCGGCATCCTGGAGCACCACCTTGTGCACCAGGTTTTTGCAAGCAAAACAGTCACAGCAAATTCCCTTTCGTAACAAAACCACCAGTGAGCAAGCCACGAACACAACGAGCTGCCGAGGGACGAGAACAAGTAGGAAGCCCAGGTGGCCACCAAGGCCTTCTACAGAGCGGCTGAACAAACCACGGGAGGAAGGTTGGGAAGAGAGGCAGCAGAGGGTACCGGGAGGAAGGTTGGCAAGAGAGGCAGCAGAGGGCACTGGGAGGAAGGCTGGGAAGAGAGGCAGCAGAGGGTACAAGCAGGCGAGGAGGATAAGTTTGTTTCCGAGAGATGTTCCTCAATGGGGCTGCTCGCGGTGCTTCAAGTCAAACGACAAACAAGAACTTGTCCGTCGTCGATCGTTTGCCGGCGTTTGTCGGTGGTGTTTGTCGTTACAGTGGGACAGCGTCAGCGACACAGAACTTCGTGGTGTCGCCGTACAAAAATCTGTGTTTGTCACTCTAGTGGGACGAGCCTATTAGGGTGTTTGTCTCATCTACTTACTGGCTGTCATTCTGATTGTCACGACGATTGGCAGACTCATGCAAGATGATTTGCCTCGCCACAGCTGCGGCAGGTTTGTCCCCTTGCCAGGCAGACTTCCGAGTGATGTGGGCAGGTGCTGTCACAATGTCCAGAAGTGCAGTTTTGTTGTTATCGAGATGACCTGCCTTTCCCTTCGACTTTTTCTTTTGAATGTGATGGTCGATGTGTTTGCACCTGCACTGTGACCTTCTGCATGCCAGTCAGGGCGGTCTCCATGCTTTTCGCTTGCCAGTCAGACATCTCCGTGGTACGTGCAAGCTTGAGTAACTTCATCACCGGCGTGTTCGGTTTGAGGAGTGACTTCCGTTGTAACGTTGGTGAAGAGCAAGTTTGGACCATATGCGACTTGAGTTCCGCATCCAGGACGGTGAATCCATGCTAGCATGTGTGTAGTATCTTATTATGAAAAGTGTCGATGCTCTTATCGGCATGCTGACGTTCCTGTCGGAACGTACAGTGCTGGTATTCATAGTTTACGTTTGGATCAAGATGCGTGGTCAGCTGCTCAACCAGAAGCTTGTAGATATCCCAGCCCGTGGTACTGGTACAGTCGACCATTGCCATCGCTGCTGGTAGCGTTTCATATTTGTCGCACACTTCCTTGTCGGCATAGTGCAGTAGCATCCCTTTCGATTGTGCTGGGTCTTTGAAGTTGAATGCTAGCAGGAAGTTGTCAAATCTGGTTACCCACTTACAGCAGCGGGGTCCGACAGAAGAGGCATCCTCGAGAACATTGAAGCTTGGGAATGGCGGGAGGACTGACATGGTTCTGCGTTAGGTGTACTGGTGCTTTAGCGTGGTGCAATAATTGCGATCCTCATCGGCTGGGTGCAGGCAGTCGGTAGTCGAAAAAGCATTGCTGTAGTGCAGCGTAGGCGCACAGGTAGTCGACTTTTTTTATCCTCGTTGCCAATGTAGTGGTTTAACACTTTTAATATGACATTACATCGGATTGGTAATGTTACATTGCAAAAGCTTGTCACACCCCTCGGGAGGCCGATCCCCCGATGAAACGGGAACCGAAACTAAATACTACAGTTGCAATGATCAGCAAATGGCACTGCTACTGCTGCTGGTCAGACCATTTACACTGAGGCAAGTGACAGAGGAGTAAGCATATGGCAAGGTTGAGATAAAAGCCAATATCATATTTAATTAAGCACAAATCAAATCGCTGTTTATGAACAAAGCCTGCACATTCAGTTTTCCATAGAACATGCAGATAGCCATTAATTGCAATAGACAGAAGGAACCCAGTGACTTGCAGGACAGAGATAACGTCCTCGAGCAAAAATACTACTAAAAAATACAGAGCAAACGCCCATCCAAAAGTTGGAAACAATCATTATGGGAGCTTGAGAGCAGAAAAGCAGAAAGGGCACATATCTAAAGGAGCTGCGCAACGATTTTAATGTTGAAAGAATTTGCATCTTCTACTTTCCATATTGTTTATCTTGTCACAAAGGACAGAAAACACACCTCCTCTCTCTGAATTGTTGCGATTCCGCCGCGTAATCGCGAGACAAAAATTATACTTCCCGACCTCCGACGTGCAGCATGAGCGGTGTCCATGAGAACCTCGTGACGTGACATCAAAGGGGGACTTGTAAAAATATAGCAAGTTGTGCAAATACCTGCTCGATAAAAGGTAATTTTTCTCTAAATCTTGTTGTTTCAACATAAATATAAATGTGTCAAAAACCTGGTATCATCGACAAAACTTTCATTATACGGCGTTTTACTGGCGCCATCTATCCGAGGTCAACAAAACCGTCAGCTCTATCTGCTACTGCGAACAGCCGCCAGAAGCCGGAGGGGGACGGGGGCAGAGCCGGACGAGGATGGCCGGACCCGGAGGATGGCCGGACCCGGACAAGTACGTTGGCACTTTTCTCCTTTCGCCATGTTGATTGTGCTGCGCAAGCACGTGGTCATGTGGTCGCAAGCGGGAGAGTTCTCGCTGCTCACTGATGGCTCTAGAGATTGAGCTTCACCGGAACCCTGCGCGCCCTCCTTTCACATCACAGCGCACACGACTTGGAAGAAGGTGAAGGAGTTGAGAGGTGCCGAAAACCTCAATCTTTGTCAATTTTTAAAATAAAAGCTAGGATATGCAGGCAAAAGCGGTTTCTTGTGCTTTACTTCAGAAAGGTTGAGACACCAACTCCCAAATTATTTAGGAAAAGCACCGGAATTGTTGCACAGCTCCTTCAAGGTAGGCCCTTCGTTGACTGTCGTTTGATCTGATGGAATGGTATAGGGGTCTGGTGGAATCCCCAATTTTTGGAGCAGTCACACAGCTCTCAAAGCCCACTTCAAGCAATGCTCTCACGTCAAGCTCCCACACCGAAGCGGTATGGGGAGGGGAAGGCTTTGAACCGGCATTTTCAGAGAAGTAGCTGATGAAAAGGGACATCTTGGTTAGCTCAGTGGGCATAGAGGTTTGCTGGAATGGGCACTTGATAATATCCTTTTCTTATATTTCAAATATTTCAGAAGCAGGGGGTGGACACTTCTGACATGCTCGCATGCTCAGTATTTTATGGTATCTGTGCAGATTGCACTTCAGCGGAAAATAGTCCCTTCAACAATGCTTGGATATAGTGTGCTCTGCGGGAAGGTAGACAGGCGGGCTTTGTTCATAAACGGTGCACTGATTACTCGAGTATATACTCTAATTAGAAGCATGAGAGAACAAACGCAGGAAATTGTGTTGGGTGTGTCCCTCTTTTTATATCCCTTTCCTTCTGCCCTCTGTTTTGGCTTTCAAAGTCAGAAAGTGGAATTACTGCATCAAGAAATTACGAAGGATCAATATACAGCCAGACAGAGGTAAAGGAGGCAATTTATGAACATCTCATATGCGGCCCCAGGAAGCACTTGCCTGGGCTATGCAAAGTATATTACAACTGGCCAAGTAATGCTATCAAAGCCATATTGCTGGAAGAGAACTAACCATTGTCACCAGGTTGCCAAACCACTGATGGGCAAGTTCATGAGCCACAATCAGTGAAATGCGCTGCTTTCTTTCAGCTGATGTATTCTGGCTGTCCACAAGAAGGCAAGATTCGCGGTACGTCACCATGCCCCAGTTTTCCATAGCACCTGCAGACAAATACATACACTCAGCACAAGGACAATAGAAAACGTTTGCTCAATAGAATGAAATCTCTTGTGAAGAGAGGCTTTCAATGTTTTCACTACTTTAGATGCGCTTCATAAAACGCAGTAGAAGCCTGACAAGAAGTCAGAAAGAAGAAAACCACACCTCCATTTTTTTTTTTTTCTTTACATTCAAGAAAAAATTATTCAGCTTTTCTGCAGAGAATTCAGACACTTGCCCTTTTCGGGAGAGGACAAGAGCGCATAGGGAAATGGAAGAATGACACAAAAATAGGGTTTTTTGCATGGCAATAGGCGATTCTGGAGGTCGGCCTTTCAGGAAGTTTAATGCCTAGCTGTAGCAGACATGTTCAAATTATTAAAGGATCTGGGACGTAAGTTCTACTTTTGCACATTGGCGTTTTTAGGCTATATTCACCACCCTCAACAAGCCTCTCAAGTGACATTTTGATTAGGCGACATGGAAGTCCATTAACACTCGGCCTAAAAACCAAGATATCTTAAAAAAAAGTCATGTTTTTGAAAAATAGTCTTATCAGCTTGTTTAACTCCTGAAGAATGCTGTCAAAAAGTTGTATTCCTTTAGATAAAAAATTTACTCCGAAATATATTATTTCTGACGTACCGGCGGCTGAGCGTGCTTCATAAAAATGCTTGCAGTCGCTCAATTTTGCAATTCTCAAAGCGCGCTCACTCTGCGTTCATTAGGCCTAGTGCAGACAGGCACCCCTTAGTGGAAAGAGCGCTTAACCCTCCTTTCGGTGTAGAGCTCGTTGCAAAACATTGTGCACATCGTGAAACCCCGCAGAAACAACACTGTACGCTCTCTTATTGGCCACACAGGCGAAGAAGGAACTCTGATTCGCTCAAACCTGCCACGTGACCCCATAGTCCATGCAGCGTGGAGTGTATGCCAGTCTCCTGCATTCATACTCCACTGACGAGAAACCAAGGCACATCGCTTGCCCCTCTGGGATAGACTCTTGGTGCCACTTCAACCGAAGCAAGGCCCTCGAGGAAGCGGGAGAATCACCAGCATCTATCTTGGCCACACAAGCTAGCCTTCTCCAAGGGGATAGCGAAGGAGCTAGTGCCCTTGTGCAACCACCTGTCACGGAGGGATTTGCTTGAAGGATGCTCCCAGATCAAAACTGAGAATGTGAATTATTCTTTCAACGCCTTGATTTGGAAGAGGTGCCCAAAGGTAGAATTCACTTCTCTAAAGACTGTCGAGTGTGCCGTGGCTCTGGCAGTCTTGAGTTCAACCTGGGTCCTCGAGGTTGAACTCAAATGAAGGTCGGCACTGAGCCAGGGAGCCCCCAGGGAGCTGTGAAGGCCACTTAGACGAAGGTTGCAAAAGGCCTAAGCTAAGGCACTCAAATCCTCCAAGGTATCGCACAATAGACGAAAGATGGAAGCTCTGGTTAAGAAACACAAGGACCATACAGAGGAGGGACTGACATACGTTCCTGGAGAATTTTAGGTCAAGTGGCAAGTGCCATCCAAAGTGGAACACAATGTGGATTTTCAAACAAGTTTTCCTCAGCTTCATGTTTTGACCATTTTTCCTTGCTCAAAAACGATCGTTCGATGACTGAAGTACCTTCATAACTGCTGTGCAGTTTTTCTGGAGTGAAATTTACTGGAGAACTCGACTATGACCTTACTTTTTCAGGATTATCACTTCTTTAGTGAAAAAATGTCGGCTTTTGTAAAAGTAAAAAAATGAATGAAATTTACCCCTTTTTCCAAGTTTACTTTAACACTAAATATGACACTTAGAATTATTTGAAACCCACTACCGATTAGTCGGGTTACTCGTCCTTAAGTCCAAGCAAAAAAATTGTGACATTTTGGTACTGCTTTGTAACGATATTTCTTTCCCTCGGCACTACTAGTTGTATATTTTTGACATATGAGGCTGTAACTTGGCGCGAAATAGACTTTTTCAGCTGAAAGTTAGTGTAGCCTCCTAAGTTTGCATGCCTGGTATACCTTCCCAAAGAAGCCTTTAAAGTCGATGAGAGGAGACACCATTGTGACATAGCGGCTGGGTGCTCCTGCAGATTGGAGCGTCGTCGACCCACTGCTCGAGTCAGTTTCACAGTATGAAGCCTTGGTGTGCACTGTATGTAAACTCAAACTATGCTGCTGTTATAAAAAAAAGAAAAATTGACCGCATCTCCACATGGTGAATGATGTTGATTGGGCGAAGCACTGGTGGCGCCAATTGTCTGCGTAAACGCTGAGTTGCAGCATGCCGAGCCTTTCGTTCGTTTTCATCCATGTCAGAAAGAGAATGTGTGGTATGGAACGTGGTTATATACGCATTTGAGCATTTGACCGCAGCGCCCTCTCGTCTATAAAAGTTGAACCAATGCATGCAAAGTTTAACGCGATTATATACGCATTTGACCACAGCGCCCTCTCCTGTATAAACGTTGAGCGGCTACATGCAACGTTTCATCCATGACATCCCAAGCTCTTGAGTTACTACCACATCTCAAAGCCCCCTACTCGTCCAGCAGTCGTAGCGGAGTGGTTAAGGCGATGAACTAGAAATCCGTTGGGGTCTCCCCGCACAGGTTTGAACCCTATCGACTGCGCTAACTTTTTTTTTTTTTCATCATTTTTTTTTTTTTTTTCCTACACGAGCACGTGAGCATGTGAGCTCACGAGCACGAGCACCACCAAAATTGATGCGAGCACGAACGCCAGACGGACAAGGCTAGACCCTAAAGGAGTATTCACACAAGGGAGAAATCCCGGGGATTTCTCCCCGGCACGCGCATCCCACGACGAAAACATCAAGCTTTGCGATGTGCAAAAGCCTCGCGTTTTCGTCTCGTGATGCGCGCATGCCGGGGAGAAATCCCCGGGATTTCTCCCTCGTGTGAATACCCCGTAAGGAGCTTCGCCCGTAAAAAAAATGCAGGGAAACATTCATTGCTATATGGGAGAATTTATGATGGTCTGAAAAGGCATGGAGGTTACTGCTGGAGGACCGATCCAAGGTTGCACATCTTCCAGTGAAAACAATAGTACCTCATTTCAAAAAGTGAATTATGACCCCATTTGGGTCATTCCGATGAGCTTTTTGAGAAACAAGTCTGTTCTGCCCCCGATTTTATATTGCCCCTTTTGCAATAGTAACATAACAAACGTGTATGTGCCGCAGAACACGGATATTGAAAACAATCTTGCTGTTCACTGGGGTATGCTTCATTGGGGAATTCTGATAAATTATATCAATGTGCTTGGGATTATCATGTGTCGGATGGTATATGTACATCTTACCCTCAAAGTGGTGCAAGTTTTACGATGGAGTGTTACGCTGTGCTCGTAGCGAAAATTAGGATTAATTTGCAAGCATAGATTCCGATCTGCAGGACTCGCATTTCATTTGCACTTGTCCTCTGTCCGAGGTGTCTGAAACAATTATTTATTAGCTCGCCTGTTTCACAATAGTTTTCTTCTCTATATCAGTGCTTTTGCCACGTTTCATCTGTGGCAAATGTAGTAGAGCACTCATTTTCTTTCCTCACACTGTTATCACTGCCCATAATAGTACTAATGCGCGTTTTGAATCGCTGCAGAATCATTTTATTCTTCTGTTTCTTTCAACTACGACGCGCTAAACACTATTAAGGGGGTACTCCGGCGTTTTCTTCATAGTCCTAAAAACCCTAAAAACTTGCTAAACACACCAACGAACATCGCTGACATGGTAACCCAAATATTTCGCCAAAATAACTTTTTTTTGCGAAGTTATACAATTTATGATTTTTGTCCTCACCGTGTTTTTCGAAGTGAAACGCTCTACTGGCAACATAGAAAGTGACGTCATGGGAAAGCAGGGGTTCACTTTTTGGGCTGTAGATTTTGTTCCCAACTGATTACAAACAGTTTCATGGTGTCAAATGAATGCTTTGGAAGGTCGCTCCAGCTCGCGCGCAGCAGTACAAAACAAATGCTCGGCATAGTTCATTTTTAGACAGCCCACTCGAACCGCAAGCCTGCCATTCCGTGACGTCACGGCAATGAAAAGCGCGGGTATATTTGAACCCTGGTTTTGGCGTCATTTTCATTTGCTGATTTCACAACTATTTCGAATTTCGCTATACTAAATAGCATACCGAAAAGAGTAAAAGATGGCGATTTCGAAAATATAGTTGCTCAAAAAAATTGCCAGAGTACCCCTTTAAAGCAGGACATCACAGGAATCTCAGTTGTCTGTACACATGGCTTGATAGATTATGTCAGCCCCTTGCTGCTGCTCCAAAATCTGAACTGTTGCCAAAACACATTTTCCTGACTATTTTCTGAGTTTTGCATTGACTATTTTTTGAGTCTGCAGGTCATTGCATAAAGAAATGCAATGACCTGAGTGTGACAAAATCTTAATCACATATTCATAACAAACAAATCAAGTAAGAAAATACTGATCTCAGTTTTTGGGACATGATCGTTGCATATCAAGCAGTAGATAGAAATATCACAAAAAAGATTATAAGCAGAAAATGGCATACCAGCAGCCAGATCGGGGACAGCAACCAAGTCCAACTTTGGTAAAGGGTAGGCAATATTGAAGTAGCTCTTGTAGAAAGGCAGTGCCTTGGTAGCCACCTAGAGCACATAACAGGAAATACAAGTGTTTCTCAGATAAAGACTTCCAAGAGCAATTTTAGAATCTGGGGCTTCAATTATCATTACCTGGACACTTTCATAACACAACTGCATAAAGCAAGGTAATGTGACGATGCCATCCCAGGAAGTGCAGAACGTCCTTATGAAATGCAAGTACACAGCTATAGTGCTCTAACTGTCAATCATTACCTTTCCTGAAGCTGAGTTTTATTTTAAACTTTATTGACTGTGGACTCAAACAGTTGGAGGCCTATATTGAGATGGTAACTAAACAATACATTTCACATAATTAAACCTGGTGCAGCCCAGCTATAGCTAATCAAGAAATTCACTTTTCTTCTTGTCAAAATTGGATGTATTTTAGCATTTTATGCAAAAGAGATTAATTATTTTTTTTTGGATATCAGTATCCCACTAAAATCCTCCCACATAGCGCATGATGGTGACAATCCTTTTGCACACTGATGCTCTGTCTCTACCCTCTACCTTACAGCTCACCTCAAGTGCAAAGTTTCCTTGCTCTGCTTTGCCACAGGGACTATACACTCTAACTAGCACACCATCCGAAGAAGTGGCTTCGATGTAGTCATACTCTCCAACCACAAAGCAAACAAGGTAGGTGGACATCTTGGGAGTGGTGGAAAATGCAACTTTGTGCAGAGTTGGGTCGCCGACTACTTCCGTGTCGCTAATCACATTCTGAAACAAGATTACACACCATTAGAACCCATCACAAACGAGTTGACTCAAACTTTTCATTACGAAAGTCATTACATGCATAAAAGAAACCATATGACCTTGCAGTTCACTTTTAAAAACCCAAATAAAAACCTTTACCAGCTTGTGTCCAATGCACAACGTATGAGCACAATTTAGGAACTCGCCAAGAACCAGTTTTCACTAACTAGACCTTTTACTAGAATACCGAAGCAATAAGGAGCATGCTGCGAGTGTAGTTAGATGTACTGCACGTGATGGCGTATACAGCAATAACTGTTTTAAAGGGCAACTCTGGTCAATATTTTTTAACTTGGGATTACGACTGTTTTCAGCTAAAGCAGTGTTCCAGAAAAACAAGGTCTATTTTTTAAAATTATATTGTGTGTAGTTTCATAAATATCACGGCTCAAAGTTTGGTTCCAGACATCCACGGCAAAAGCGAAACTATCTGCTAGAGGGATGGCAACACTGATAATCAGCCGTATGGCCACAACACAACGTCAAAATGGTGCTGCGGTACGCGGTACAACCAATCAACTGCAGCTCCACTGCGACGTGACATCAGGAGTGTGCTGTGCTAGTGTTCCTCGACTAAAAGCTAACCCGCTTGCCGTTTACTAAGGAGCAGCTGGTCACATTTTTAAAATCGGTTTTAGTTGATTCACTCCAGCGCAATATTTTGGCTGTAATCATATTTCGTGCCACTAAAGCAATATGAGTAATTTATTTTGATTTCGTTTTCAACCAGAGTTGCCCTCTAAAGCAAAAACAAATGGCAGTTGGATGCGCATTCCTCAATGCCTTACTTTGACTTTTTTTACACTGATAAAGTGAGCATGTGCTGTGTGTGTACCTACATTCCCAGCATTCCCCTTGTTGCATGGGTAATTTGGCAAAAGGTCTATTAAACTGTCAACCAACCAACTTATTGTTTGACAGTCTGGTTAAATTAATGCTTAAGCTCTTCATTCGGGACTGCAAAAGTAAGGGGATGGCCTATGCCTATAAATTATGATTTTGATCCATGAACAAAGTTGTGAAGGATACTGACTTTGCAACTTTAATTCCTGCTGTACACGTGTTGGATTCCTGCTGAACGCGTGTTGGCACGCTGACCTGGCGCTGACGGACACGCAGCACCAAGAGGTAGCCGGCCGTTGAAACTGACGCTGCACGTCAGTTTCAACGACCGGCCATCCCATGGCGCTGCATGCCCGGCGAATGGGAGCCTGGTTGACGTGTGCTAGCCAATGGTATCAAAGCGGTGTAAAAGGTGCTGTGGCTAAACGACGAATGGGAGCTGGCTTGACTTGGAGAAGGATTTAAGAGCCGTTTGGCGTGGTTTCAAAGCTGATGACGCCGGCTCACTCCATGAGACCAGTTAATGCTTTCGCATTAAAAACAGTAGCAAGTTAGAAAGACAGGACAACATTACCGTATTTGAGAGTGCAGTCAGACCCTTGGGCACAACCAGAGAAATGTCAAAGGTGGCTTTAATGGATGGTTCATCCCAGCAGGGAAATGCCCGCCTGGCATCAGTTGGCTAAAAAAAAACATGTGGAAACAATAAATGGCAAAATCTGCAGTCTCCATTAGCAGGGATGGAACTGGGCAAATCAGCTCTGGAGCTATCTTGGGAGCAGAAAAAAATACAGTTTGGAGCAGGCTGGGAGCAGCAAAAACGAGGTCTTGGAGCAAGTTGGGAGCTGTCTATGAGTTTTAAGAGTGTTAAAATAAAGGCTAAATGTCACCTGGTTTTTAAAACTAAAGAAAATATGGCATGCAGGTAGCTCCGTGTGAACTTAACGGCAGTTTCAGTAAACTTTTTAGTTGCAAATATTTTTCACGAGATTAAATCAAAACTGCGCGTGACAGTGTGACAAGTGATAAAACCGACTTGCAAAGAGATAAACAGGTACAAATAGCTTTCATTGCTCAGCATCAACTAGTAAGGTATACCGAAAAATAAAAATGCAGGTACAAAAATGGTCTTTCATTTTTCAGTGACTAGAATAAGATAATAAATGCCGTTGTACATATAAATTTATTCAGACTTAGTCAATTACTCAGGGATATACTTCACCTTTTCGGGATTCTGAGCAAATTTTGCATTACAGGGTGTCTAGCAAATTATGATTTTGAAATTCCCTGACTTTTCTAGGTTTTCCCTGACATTTTCAGGTGAAATTCCCTGACCACTGTGGAGGCCATTACAACACAAGGAATTGAGCTCTGAGCACTATGAGGATAATTTTGCATGGGATTAATCCAACTTGCCTATTCCGAAATATTCGGGTTTGTCAAGTCCGAATTAAATGGGCACTTTCTTGCTGCCGAAATCGTCAGTGAAGAGGCCGCTTCCGGAAACGCGATGAAAACACAATGCTCAACCACACACGTCAATAACCGAATGGCAGCATGGCCGCCAGATGCAAACTTTCGGATACTTTCGGCTTAAGGCTTGGATTGGGGTCTGTGGCTTTTCCATTTGTTACTAAATCTAGTAGCTTTAACTAGATCTAGCCTAGCGTCGCGCCCTCAATCCAATCCAATCCAATCCAAGGCTTAAACTGGATTTGTTGGCTGTTCCATTTGCATCGGGTAGCACACTCTACATCGGGCGAGCACAGCCCGCGCTCCGCTCCAAGCAGAATTTATTGCCTATTTTTCTGCCCCCAAGTCCAAGTCTTTGCTCAGGGCACTCAATGGCGTTTCCGGCTCATTTTCCCTGAATGGGATCGCTTTTTGACAATATCCCTTACAATTCCCCGATTTTTCCCGATAATTAAAATTTCCCTGACGATTCCCGGTTTTCATGGTCGCTAGACACCCTGGCATTAGTCTCAGCAAACAGCACTTGTCCAGACTCAATCTTCTCCATCTCCTTCTTTTGTTTCATTTTTTTTTTCAGACCCGATTTAATCAAGACTGCGCATGCTCAAGCATAGTCCGCTTGATGATGATGAAGAGCTGTTCAAGTTGTTGCTCTTCTTCCTGAAGACGAGCTCGCTTTGTACTCGCATCACTGTTCTTCCTCTTCTGCCTCTTGTCATCTTGCTTTTCGACCTCTAGCCTTTCTGTGTAAACTTTATGAGACTTATTCACAGTTTGCAGCAAGTCTACCGTCATGGGTACTTTCGTGACATCACTGTCAAATCGCTTCAAAGCCCAATCACGATCTGGCAGCTCGTATCTTGCTCCGTCATACACCTTACTGCTCGTTCGCCTTTGTTCCCAAGTTCTCTGCGCAGGGCCACGGCACACGTTTGCTCCACTATACTCAGATCTTCAGATGAGAAGTGACTCCAAGACTTCAGAAAAGCACGGTGAGCATGCAGCAACGGCAGCAACATTGGTGGCAGCAACCTTCAGATAAAGATTTTTGAATTCGGATCCACTGGCGTCCCATTTGGGCCAGAAGTTCCAGTGTCAAAGTTGCCAACATAAACTGCAAGACAGTTCATTTCGACGAGGCTCGTTTAGAATTTTAGTTTGGGCGGACCCTGGCGCAATTTTGCCCTTATTCATACTTTTGTATAAGTGTGGCGCATGAAAAGTCATTAGGCGCACAGCGGCGCAATTGGTGCAGCAGTTCCATCCCTGCATTAAGGAAAACTTAAAAAATAGCAAGTTAAAAATGAGAACATTGTAATGTTCTGCAAGACAGCCAACCTCAACGCCCACCCCTTGATGAAAATCAGCCCAGCATCCAGTTGGGACTTTATCCAGTTGGAAATGGATCCAGTTGGAAATGCATCCCGTTGGAAATGGATCCAGTTGGAAATGGATGGATTCAGTTGGGGATCCAGTCGGTAATGGATCCAGTCGGAAATGGATCCAGTCCAGACTGGATCCAGTCTGAAATGGATCCAGTCCGAAATGGATCCAGTCCGAAATGGATCCAGCCGGAAATGCATTCAGTCGGAAATGCATTCAGTCGGAAATGGATCCAGTTGGAAATGGATTCAGTTAGAACTTAGACTTAATACGGCGGGATCCAGCTGGGACCAGTTTTATAATCTAGCTCAAATGATTCTCAGCTGGGCCCGCACAAAGGGTAGGTTGGGTAAAAAAAAGGGGGGGGGGGGGGGGGCTACCCTTTGATGTGGAATCCAAAAAGGTTGAACTATTTTCAAACCCTACACTCACATGTAATTAATTAGCAGCCATAGACCACAGCACAAAAATGATGTTACGTCAAAGGACTAAGTTCCGTTTATTTATTTGCCTTCTAAGGACCCAATTAGGAACACCCATTATTTGTCAAAACTCAGATTGCCTAACCTGTTGGACAAACTAAGCCCAACCTTGGGTCCATCTTTCAATGTTTGGTTTTTCTGATAACCTAAACACTATAGTAAAGTGCATCCACTTTCCATGTTAAACATTTCTTAACTATACCCTATTTTACTCAATAAATGCTGATCAAGCAATTAAGGTTACAAAATCACAAAATCAATCAGTATGCTGATAAGAACGGCCCAATCAGCTGTAAGGTGCCCAAAACACGAGAAGCACCTGAAAATAAGACACGACAGGATAAAGCTGAATAGGCAGAGTGGGTTCTTACTTCAAACTGAGTGACTGCTCCACACTTCTCTTCACCATCTTGGCCCTTGTACTTCACTATATGGAAACCCACCAGCTTGCTATTTAATTCACCAGAAAAGACGAAGTCAAGCCGTCCTTCACCCGGAGTAAGCGGCACATCAAACCTGACAGTGGCCCTCCTGGACTCCTTTGACGTGGTGACACTGGCAGCCTTCAGTTCTGAAACATAGCAGCTGGAATCATAGGTTGGCCACCTTGTACTATCGCGGACAATATGAGCTGAAACAGCGCTCCGGCCTGTGCACGGTACTACCTGCGCTGCCTGACGCATCGCACCGCAAACACGGCACACCCTGAAGCCGAGATAAATTCTCACTTGTGCTCATTGCGCCGCTGCTCTCTTCCGGCCATCTGCTAGCGAAAATATTGGCCAATGGAACCACCATCACGATGCTTGCGCCGTGCAGCCCAATGTTCACGTTTTCAGCCATCATGCATTTCAGTGCATTTCAAGAAAGCGCCGAAGTGGAAAATGCATTGTCACGCTCGTATCTCCTCAAGGAGTGGTGCCTGACGGAGCTGCCTTGGCCCCCAAAAGGAGCCAATCTGAATATCATCGAACACGTTTGGAGGCGCATCAAGATAGCCATGTCACAGCGTCCCCTCCACCGTGCCACTGCCGACGAATCGTGGGAAGCGGTGAGAGGTGAATGGGAGATGCTTCGGGCCGAGCCAGACTCCTTAGCTGCGCTCCACGATTCCTTACCCCACAGAATGAGAGCCGTGGACGCAGTATTAACTTCTTTCGTAAGCTTTACTGTGCCTCAGGACCCCCCATAAACCGGACTTCTGCCAATTGGAACAAAGCTTGCTGCTACAATTACGACACACTGTTTGGCACCATTAAACTGCGGATACCTTTGAGTGGTGCATCCTTGATCCCGATCTTCTTGTATAGTGCAGTTGAACTTCCACACCGACTATTAATCTTTTGTATCTGACATCATCCTCTGCGAATATTCCTTCCATGAACTTTCAAGCTCCTTCTCCTGGCAAATATACGACTGTTTGTTGCACTTCATTAAGACAAGGAATTTGTAAATAAAACACTGGTGTCTTGTAAGCACTGGTTTTGTTTGAAACAAACACGTGGGCCCAGTAACAAAGAAATATTATTTTTTAACCTTTTCATACCAATCAAGGTTACAAAACCTCCACAGTAACATGTATGGTTACCGTTGTTTTTTTTTAACACAGTTGTGCTTAACAAAAGATTTAAAAAAAGTAAATACCTTGGAGTTGGACCAAATTCCATAACAAATTTTGGCCTATATTTTACGATGTCCTACTTTGCGGCATGCACTTCATAAAAATAAATAAAAGAACTTGTTTTTTGATGTGACTTTCAAAGAACGATAATCGCAGCTGCAATTTAAGATACTTCAACATTTTTTTTATCAGTCAGTTCTTTCTACGTGACTCTACACGATAGAATGAAGTAAATCAAATGCAATAAAGGAATGACAAGTGTAATCTTCTGTCCCCCCCCCCCCTCCCCCTAACATGATACATGTTATACACTGCCGCACATGATAGTCTGCCCGCTGTTGCACCCACCTTCTCGCTTTCAGACAGCCGGAAGAGCCCAGTGGAGCAGGGAGCGCAAGTGACAATTTATCTCAGCCTCAGGGTGCGCCGTGAGTGCGGAGCAAGGCAACAGGCGGCGCAGGTAGTATCGTGCGCCATTGTCCGCGATAGTACATACTATACCCATTTTCACCCCAGGAACAGTAGTGGAAGAAGCCGGCTCCTCGCGGAGCATTACTAATTTCCCTTTTTACATAGAGAAATAAGATATAAGGAGGTGCATTTTAGGTTAGGTATATGTTATCTCACCAGATATACTTTCAAATGCCAAACGCATTGTTTCTTTCTAAGACAACCAAATCTTTTAAGAACTACTTCGCGCAGCGTGCAAAACTTCCTTCTTTTTTCTTGAGGTGAAAACGAGTATAGACCAAAAGGATGCTCGGTATGTCCTCATTTTTCAAACATTTAAAAAATAGGCACAGGGCATTTATTGGGGCGTCGGCACATGCTTGGCATTTTCCAATGTATTGAGCCCCCAAGAAGCGAAAGACAATTTTATAAAAATATTTTAAACTCTTTTCAGTCATAGTAAAAAAAAAAGACAAGGAAAAAAATACTGAAAGGAAAAACACAACGAAGTTATCGCTCACGAGCTAATGCACCGTCATACTAATAAAAAAAAAGTAGCAAAAACAAAAAAAAGGACAAACACAATGAAGTTTTAATACACAGCTGTGTTTGTCCTTACCTTTTTTTTTCTTTGTCTCAGGGTTTGTTTTTATTATGACCATGCATTAGCTTGCCTGCACGCTTACTCTCATTTCAGTAATTTTCTTCAGTGACCATTTAGAACAAGGGCACAAATATTCATATCTTTGGAGGTGATGTTTATTTGATATATGAATGTTGTAAAGAACTACTGTAAACGACTAAATTTTTGCGAGGACCTAATTTTCGCGAATCGACTACAATTTGCGAAAAATATGTCTTGCGAACAATTCAGGCAATATGTGAAGCTACACTCGATTCGTGAAAATTAGAACCCGCGAATAATTTCAAATTTTCAGCTTTGGCCCGATTCGCAAAAATTTGAGCCCACGAAAATTAAGTCGTTTACAGTATGTCCTCTCTATTATCACTCACTTGTAGTCAGACCTCTACCACCAAGCCATAAAGTCCACACTAAGGGGAGAGCAGCTGAATTTAAAATTTCCCAGTTTATTGTGCCTAATCTCTGTTTTATAAATCTGGTGTTAGTTTTTATGTAGCTTACTTTTTATACCCTGAATGCAATGTACAAGCAAAAAAAAAAAAAAAAGCTTTTGTGCACATGTTGAGCATGGCCACAAACCTACAAGAGTATCGTAAAAGAAGCTGTTCCGCTCCTTGTGAACCACTCAGTGAAATGAAAAATAAAAATAGTCAATGCTAGACCTTCTTTATTGTAAACTAATTGGAAATTGAAAAAAAAAAAAAAAAAGCATTGTCAAAGGGCAGACAAACATTTCTTTAAGTTTTTGTAACTATATATAAATACATCAATCAGTTGCATGCTACAGGTCATAAGCACAAAAATTCTTTTGTATAACCCCCCCCCATACACACACACACACACACATATGCACAAAAAAACAAAATGTGTTAGAGTATTACAATAGAACTGTAGCAACACTTTTTCGTAGCAGGAAAACACTTTTTTATTATTATTTTTTGTGATAAATAGAAACAAAAAAAGAAAGCGGTGGAAAGAAAACGGCTAGACCTACTTCTCAAATAAATGCATTGGCGGGCGCCGCAACCATTTGAAGAACCGGGCAGACGAAAATGCCTCAAAAGTATGCCTTTTTCAATCACCAAGAGAGATAATTGCCTTTTTTTGGCCAGCATCTGCCCTTACCAAGGGATGTTGCAAACTTTTTAAACAATTCAACAAAGCTTTTAGCTTCTGCATCAGCGTTGCCTGACCTCAACACAAAATATTTCAAACTTTAAAAAAAATGTATCGACACAATAGCTTGCTTAAAATATTATAAAATTATTACCTATGCTTAAACAATAAAAGAGCAAACTTATAAATTTTTAACGACTTAGTTTGCTCAAATGTTGCAAACTTCCTAAAAGAGCTGGTGTCGGCTTGTTTTTGGTTTATGCGCACGAGCATAAATGTCAAACTTCTGTCAAGCTTTCGTTGAATTTAATGTTGAAAGTTAGAAAGAATAGAACCTCGGCAAGTTTGCAAGACCCCAACAATAACCTAGGCTCAACAAGCATTAGAGACTGCAAGACCTAATGCTGAACAAGCACTACAGACTGCAAGACCTACCACTGATTTATTCATTTAAAATAAAATGTTGGTTTCATGGTACATTTTGCCTTCTCGAGTCTGCCCACTTGCCACTAAGTGAGAAACCTGACATTACTTGATACGGCCCATTTAGGAATTTAAATAAATTATATCTAAACATCTTACCAGAACATAAGAACAAACATGTACACTACCAGGAGAAGGTCTTACACCTACCTTTTCCTTCTTTAGAAACATAGCGGACAGAGGAAATTTGCAGCTTCAATGCATTTAGCTCAACTACTTGGGTGGACTTCAATACCTAAAAAAAAAAATAAAGTGTAAGACAACTTGAAAAGCTCCGATGAAATTTTCAATAATTGAAAGTATCACTAAACTCAATATACACTAACATCCCGAGAGATTCCCCCAACCTCAAAAGATAACCCGCCCCTATTTTTAGCTTGATTGGCTATTTTCTTTAAACACAGAAACATAGCCCACCCCTAGTAATCAGTGTTTGGATCAATGACGACCTCGGCGTAAATGCATCTAGGTAGCTGCGGCGGGATATAAGCGAACATTGCTGACTTGGAAGTACAGTCATCTTTGCTTCATTGTCTCTCGCCGCGATTAAAATTTGACAGGAAAGCATGATCTAAAGATAGCATTTCTTCAACTTTTATTGGTTGCACACCGAAAATTAGCCCACACTTTATTTTCACTCAATTAGCTCTCGATTTTAAAGGGGCTATCTCTCAGGATTTTACGGTACAGTAAAGGACAACAAATCTGACTTCTTAGTGACATTCACAACATAAGGAGAAAGCTTTGCTCTTTCTCTCCATATAATAAGTATACAGGGTGTCTAATTTTACTTAGAAAAGATTTATATAAAAAAAAAAATGCCGCGAAAGGTACACTAATGCGGTTTGTGCAGGCGAGTTATATGAGAGAGACATAATATAGGAAGCTAATCGTCTCGATAGGTCGGATAATAACCTAAAATTTATCAATGAACTTCCTAATTCGTGAAAATAAACAAATGGTTCCAATAAGAAATATGCTGATCATCATCAAAAACTACTAAATCAGTCAATTTTAGAAAGATTTAAAGCACATGGTAAGTGCAGGGGTCACCACTCGTGCACCAGGCATAAAGGCTGAACTCCATAGAGCGAATTATGCGATGAATAACTGATGAACGCCGCACAACGGCACGCTCGCGTTACGCGTGACGTAGCAGCCACTGTGCTGACACCACACGGAGAGCAAAAGCAGCCGGGCAAAATTCGTCAATTTTTCGCTGCATATTCGTCCCATGGAGTTTAGCCTTAAGGATAGCAATGTGAAAACGCGAATGATGATATCCGAAATTCTCCCGCCCCAAGCTGGTTAACTTTCGTGCACCTACACACTTCTCACAAGCTTCAAATACTTCTAAAATTGATTGATTTAGTGGTTTTGAATGACGCTAAACAAGTTTCTCATTGAAATTGTGTGTATTTTCACCAACTAGAAAGTTCATTAACAAATAGTTAATTATTTCGCTTACTGTAACAATTATCCCTCTATATTATGCCCCCCTGGCCATATAGCTCACCTGGCCAAATCACACGAGTGTACCATCCACGGCTTTTTCTAAATAAATCTGTTTGAATATGTAAATGCAGGAGGCATGTAAGGAGGCATGTATACCATACTCCAGACGGTGATATTTCAGTCAATGTAGTGGCTCATTGTGAGCTTGAACCCCAATGTTCACTCGCACAATCCCCACATCTAATCTATGAGTCACAATCAGATGTAGTGTTATCACGATAGCCTTGTAACCTAGGTGTTGGTAAGGAGCACACCCTCACAGCCCCCCTCCCACTCCACATTTCGACGAGTTTCCAGGGACCCCTAGGTGGTGCAGCATGTATAGAATGCCACGCGCTCTGTGCCGTTTGTGTTTCGGAGCTTGATAACACATAACTGTGCATAACACGTGACTCTAGGAGAACCTGTTATACACTGTCGCTATGTTTTTTATTTATAAACTTTCTGAATTGTAACCTGCGAGGTTCTGAGAAAAGCACACGGTGTAATAAAAGAAATAAATGATAGCACACAATTTTTAAAACAATGGCTGGCACCTCATGAAATAAAAGCTTTTAAAACAATGGCTGGCACCTCATGAAATAAAAGTTTGGAGAATATTTGGTAACATTTCCCTAGCTCTCTTTGCACTGGTCGAAAAAATGGCTTTTTGGTATGGACTTGGTGGAAAAAGGCAATCCACAATGGGCACAAAAGCCACGTCAGGAGCTCGATCTAGGCAACTGCAGCTTAATGGAGTCAACAAGACCTATACTCAGCCTCACTAAAACCATGCAGTACAGCCAAAGCTACAGGGGAGAGAGTGTAGGCCAACCTGTTCATGGGAGGGAAAGGAAGAACGGAAGGGAGGGGCTGGGATTCCCCATTTCATCCTTTCCCTCCTCTTGAACAGGTAGGGATACTCTCTCCTCTGTAGCTTTGAATGTACTGCACGGTTTTAGTGAGATGGAGTATAGCTTTATTGGCCAAGGTATGGTAGCACACGTGTACCCTACCAACGCTTTAGTTCCTACCCAATATGCTTGGAGCACAGCAATTCTGAAAATGACACACTAGTCATTTTCTTATGGTTTCTACGAAGAAGCTCCCACAGCAAAAGCTGGTCTGAATGGAGGATTGCCTACTGTTTCTCTCCCTTCTTGACACGGACCGCCGTGACTTGGGGATGCTGCTGCTAATGTAGAAAAAGCCGCAAGATGGCATAAATGTTATGTATTTGTGCAAAGGACTGGTGCATACACGACGGCGTGTGAGGCTAAACAGAAAGGTTTAGCCTCACACGCCACCTTCACACATGTGCACCTGCTAGCCAGCGCACATTTCATAAATCCGTGCACCCTCCTCATCAATACACTCTGCTTTAGGGCATGTGGAAATGAAAACCTTCAAGCTATTTGCCAGTGCTCTTCAGTCGTATACAAAAAGACATGTAGATAATGATAATGCAATTAAATGCAAAGGTGCAAGCAAGCTGGACAAGAATAACAATAATAATCCCTGGAGAAGGGGAACAAGGGTGACAAAGGAAAAACACAAATCTCCGAGCACAGCTAGGTGACTGGTGTGAGGCGGGAAAACACTGCCTGGTCCTGGTATTGAACCAGGGACCTCTCCAGACGGGCCGTTCACCCTTGTTGGTGTTAGACTGGTGGCAGCTGTTAAAACCGGTCTGCTCTACTGACGTCAAACTCCTGGTTAGCTTAGCTAGTAGAGAGCGCTCCACTGGAAATGGAGAGGTCCCTGGTTCGATACCAGAACAACCGAAATTTTTTTCAGTCACGCACCATCACTAGGGGTGTTTGGAGGTTTGTGTTTGACCTTTGTCCCCCTTGTTCCTCATCTCCGGGGATTATTATCGTTGTGTAGAAAAGCCTGAATGGAGTGCAATTAAACTTTTTTTTACAAAGGTGTCTTCAGGTACTGCACATACAGTCAAACCTGTTTATAACGAACAGCAGGAAACGCTACGATCAGTTCAATATAACAAGTAGTTCGTATAGCAAAAGACATTTACAACAAACTTCCACAATGAGTTCGTTGTAAGGCGAGAGCTTCTTTTTCTTCCTCATCTCTTCACTTTAGCCGTGTAACAATGCGCTAAAAAGTTTTTTTTGTTTTTTTTTTCTTGCATACATGCAGAGCGTTTTTTTTTTAGCTTATCTCCCCTTCTGAATCACTTCTCTTCATGGGCAAATGCTTTGGGGTGAAAAGTTATTTTTTCTGTGCATGTGTGCAGAGTGTATTTTTTAGTTTTCTCCCCTTCTGAATAGCTTCTCTTCGTTCAATTTTGTTTGCAACTTGAGCTTTTGGAATTTTCTTTCTTTCCTACTTCTTTCTGAGGGAAGGGACAGGCTAGAAGACGATTGTTCGAGCGTTCTTGAAAGCCTTCCCGGCAGGAAAAAGTTTGATATAGCGAATGTGTTGTTTGTTATAAAACATACTTTTTACATGCATTTTGATTTAAATTGTTCGCAAGTTCAATATCGACAATAATTCGCTGTACGTGGTTCGTTCTAAACGGGTTTCACTGTATACTCAAGTTTCGTGAGACTGACTTTCTGGGGGAAAAAATGCAAGAATAAAAAATTGTGTCCTTCCTATGCATAAGGAGAACGGAAACAAACCATCTGGTCGACACTGCTACTCACAGATGAGTACCGCACACGATTGCACCTGCTGGATCTGCCTTCAGATGTTCTTTTTTTTTTTTTTATGTGGTGCATGGAACATTGTAAGTAACAGCATAACAGGATGCTTGTTTCAGTTTTTCTCCCAGTGCATTGGAAATGTTTTTCTATTCTTTGGCTTTTTTTTTTTTTTTGTTTTTCCTTCAGAGGCCTACACCCACACATCTAATTGCTCACCGGCACTCCTTCACGAGCTTCTTCATACGTTTTGTTTGTTTTTTGCTGTGGATCACGCCACGCACTCGCCAAACGTTCATCTTTTTTACAAGGGATCATTTTGTTAAATGATCTTTTGTATGACACGTGACTCACGAAAGACGCCTTTCGAAAGTCACGTTTTTATTCAAAAGTAATAAGTGATTTTCTGAAACTTTAATGGGAAAATGGAACCCGTTCCCAGTAGTTTACGCCATCCATCCCCATGTAGTACTCGTGAGCTTCGACGGCCACCATTTTCCCATTGAAAATATCAGAAAACCACGCAGAACGAATTAAGTACAAAACGAGCGTGTTGGTAACGGTAATTAGACATGAGGAAGATACATAGAAAGGGGGGACGGACAACAAAGTTGTCCGTCCCCCCTTTCTATGTATCTTCCTCATGTCTAATCACGTAGAACGTTTGAGCAAGATAACGGTAAAGAGGAGGGCAATAATAGTTATTTCTGAAACTCTGGCACCTGACCCGGACCGCTAGCGCTACATTTTGACGGAGACCGGGCATTCAGCATAGTTCATTTTACAATTAAAAAAAAAATTGACGGTATTTAGGTATTTACATTTCGGGAGAAGCCGGCTAATAACCCGGTCAACCCGGTTACACACTTTGGCTTATGAGGGTCTGTAGCTACGAGTGGAAAAACAGCGGAACGCTTACCTTCACCGAAATTGTGGACCGGCCGTCAAATGTTCGTTGCTTGAGGTCCGGTTTGAGCTCGATCTCGTAATTCAAAGGAGTAACAAGCATCGGCAAGCGCCCGGACACTTGTTCACCGGACATGGCACCGATGGCACTACAAAACGCCGCTCTGCAGCACTTCGTCAATCCCGAATAAAATCCCTTAGGGATGTAGCGACTGGAACCACTGGAACACAACGGACTAGTACTATGCGCCGGAGCGAAGCCAACGACGCCGACGATACTGACGATACGACGAACAGAACGAACCGAACAGACCGAACGTCCTGTGGGTGCTGTGCCGGCTGTACTGGCTGTACTGGCTGAACGGACGAAGAGAACACGAGGCGCGCGAGAAAATCTGATTAGCGACATTTTGAAACAAGCACAAATTTTTACATCTTTTCTTTTTTTGGTACACGCAACAAAAACTAAGCTTTTCAGCTTTTGCAACTTCCAATAATGGATAGCCTGCTATTTTTTTTTTTTTTTTTCGGGGTTCATGTTTATTTACAACACCCATTGGATGAAAATCCACATGTCGACACTCTCTGGCGTCGGAAAGCTCGTTCAAATATTAAAAGATAAATATATATACATGTATTTATTAACTTCCTTTAAAACAAGTTTATGGCGGTTTGAAAGAGAGGGAGAATCTTGGCGATTTTTCCAAGATTTTTCTTTTATGCTCGGATATTTCGTTTTTCAGTTTGTCCAAGACTCCAAGGAGGCTATGGCTATGGCCCGACGTTAACTTCGCCGTCACAAAAGTCGACTGTCGTCGCTCGACCAACTCGGCCGCCACCACTGTTGTTTTATCAATATGGCGGTCCCATAGCAGAGCTGAGCTGCAAACACACCTCGTTATTTTTGCAACACCACCACCGGTGCCATACCTCAGGCTCATTAGAAATGACATCAGTAATTCCAGAAATTCGTATTTATTCACCATCAGACAAAGAAGATACTTCAGACTCAGATCGCAGCAGGAAAATGGCTATAAGCGGTGAGCGTAAATCAGTGGCGTCGGTTTTCCGCGGAAATTCCAGAGAAATGTTTACAGATGACAAGGCGAACCTGGTACCGTGGCTAAACACGTTTAACATGCGGCCTTACAACCTCTCTTGTCTTCCGTCGAGTATAAATTATCGCCCATCTTGTAGGTCGCAGTCGGTGGCTATAAGTCGTGCGAAACTCGGTTGCATTACGAGCTCTGCCAAATCCCTCGACGTGCTCCGTCAAAACTTGCAGAGAAGCATCAACCGTGAAATCGACGAAATTTTGCAGCGGTACTTGGAGAAGTTTTTCAAACCCGGTTTAGAGAACGTACGCATCAACAATGGCGACCACTCGATATCTGAGCAGCACATCCAGGCCGTATGCAGACAGATACTGGAAGAGGCCAAGAAAATGTACCACGGCAGCTACACGCGAGGCAACAGTCCGACGTCCGACTACACTGTCGACTCTGGACGCAACAGCCCGTCGGACCTGAAACTGGGGCGTTTCCTACACCAGGCAGGCAGGAAGAGGGCGACCAAGGCCAACTCGGACTCAGACTCCGAGGCGAGCCAGTGCCACCAGCTGCCCAAGAAGAAGAAGGGCCGGCCCCCGCTCCACTACCAGGGGGGGCTGTCCGGCCGCTCGACGCCGTCCAAGCTCAAGACTGAGGCCGTCAAGCGGGAGGGCCCCAAGTGGGACCCGAGCCGGCTCCTGCCCACCTCCCAGTTCATCATGGGGGCCAAGGCCAACAAGGCGCTGGGGCTCGGCGCCACGCGGGGACGCCTGTACATCAAGCACCCAGAGGTGTTCAAGTACTCGGGCGACCAGGAGGACAAGCAGTGGCTCTACGAACACAACCTGATGCCGGCCACGGGCGGCAAGGCCTACATGCTGCTCGTAGACGACATCCGTGAACTGGCCGACACCAACGAGTACAGGCACAGTCCGGGCCTGCTGCTCGACGAGATTGTGGGCTTCACGGTGCCCGACCACATGCTGCTCAAGATGCAGAGCGCCATGCTCGCCATGCGCACGGACCTGCCCGGGCGCAAGCGGGGGCGTCCGGGGGACGCCGATGGCTTCGCCCGCCAAGGGGGCCCGGGTGCCGCCGACGACGCGGCCGACGCCGATGACGCGGCCGTCGAGGTGTCGCCCGCCGCCTCAGACCTCAGTGCTACCCTCGAGCCGCCCCTCACCGCGCCGTTCGACCTCGGGCCCAGTCCATGACGGCACTGTGACGGACGCGTTGACCCGGGCACGACGCTCTGCCCTGACCCTGGTCCAACGTGACTGGTCCAAAGTGAGCTCATTTGGAGGCCCCGTGCAAATTTTGTACTTTGTGCCTCTGGAACGATATTACTCTGGCACATGCGTGAAAAACTCAATCTCGGTGTTGTTCGATGCGCTCCAGAGCTTTGCTCTGCCGTGCCAAGGTTGGCGGTTGTGGGCTGTTGTTGCGTATAGGGATAGTCCCTCTAAACCTGGTCTTGTTATTTGGGCCCGTGAGACTGAGGACGTTTTAATTGTCTTGTAATCATTTGGCAGTGGGCCAAAGGCTAATTGAAGGGAAAGAGAGAGATGTGCACTTCTTTCCTTAAATCAAAATCTTTGGGCATTCGATAACCATGAAATAAGGTGGCAAAAATTGGTTACTGTTTGTTTAAGGTACCTAACAGAATTGCCCTTACTTCATTTTACATTGCCACGATTGGCTGCTGCAATGCTTGCCTGCTGTCAATCAACATTTTCTGGGTTGACTACGCTGAATTCTCCTTCAGTTACTTTTGGAAGTTGTGATGTCACGAAGCGTTCTTTGTTTCGGCCATGGCAAACTTCGAAAAAAATCACAAAAATGAAGCATTGCGTGACAAGTAACATTGTGTGACATAGAGTAGTTAGGACAAACTAGTGGTTGCTGGTTTGTCCGATTTTGCTTTCACAATTGGAAAGCTGTGATCAATACTACAAATATAGCAAAACATATTTGGTAAAATCTGATGTTCTGACACTAACCTGTTGAGTTACATGCGAAAGTGCCAATGCCGCGTTCTTGCCATGTTGGACAGGGTATGGCACATATTTTAAACCATTCTTTTTTTGTTTGCATTTTCTTGTGAAACTATACTTAAAATTTGGTTGGAGTTGGCTCTTAGAGTCAGTCATTTTAAGCCGTCGCCAGCCAAGAGGAGATTTGTTCCTTTGTCTGCATGATCTGCAACATTATTGCAGAGGCTACTGAGCCAACCGAATTGAGGCGTATACACCATAGCTGGGGGTTTCTAACTGCCAGCAATTGCTGAAAAACATGATATATACTGGTCAAATAGCAATGTAAGGAGCCGGCAAGGGGGAAAAAAAATCAATATTCAATTGGGCATTTCGCATTTATTGTTATTACATTACTGTTATTATATTGTTATTATATAATGGAATTACTACTACAAAGGTGATAGGAATGTTGACTCAGGTCATGTGTGAAGCTGCTTTTTTGTAGATATCTGAACTAGCCAAACAAACATTTTGTATATTCATGCTGCATTTTTCCTGCTTTTATGCAGCTTTTATGCACCACTTCTCACTTCATTACATCCTTTTTGCAGATTTTATACGCTGGAGTCATGCCTATGCAGAATAAACGGCAATTTTGTGTTGGTGAAAAAAATTTCAGTTAATTATGGTGAAGCTCGTCACGCATAAATGCCGCAAGCCCTAGCCCAAGAGACCTAATGTGGATGAGCATCCAACTGCCCATTAATCTGAACCACGCTTAACTACTTTAGTCTGCCCAAAATATCTTTTCAGTTGCAAATGCATTGCATTTTATTGCCAGCTTTCTCCACTTTGTTGGTGTTGTTTTAGCTTGATGTATGCTGAGATTTGCAGAGAGCATGAGGATGTATAAAAACTAACTTTTACTAAAATACTGGATGCTTTAGTTTTATATCGATGCTAGCTGGAGGGATATGTGACTAGGTGTTAGGAGGCAAGAGCTAGAAACTGCAAAGATCTAGCAAATTTAATGTTGAGCCTGCCTTCTAACCTACAGAAGTTATCTGCTGTCCTTGGAGCAGAAAATGTTCACTCGTGCAGTGCAACGGGTCAAAGGGGAAAAATTACTTTTCCTTTTATTCGGATCTCACGCAGTCTGCATAGCTGTAGCCGAAGCAACCGGGGTCTTGCAGGGTGTTACCAAATGTCGCAATGCAGCCAAAATACTCTAAGCTCGCCGAGGTTTTTAGTTGTACGTAACATATGAGAGCCAGAACAGAATTTGCGGCTCGAAATTCGGTTTCTTTCCGCCCGAAAACCGCCGATCAAGAACTGGCCAGTTTGAGTCGCGCTCGCTCTTTTCTGTGGTCACGGGCCGTTTTCTATGGTTCAGACACAACCACCAAATTTAATCAGTCGTTGGTCGTTGAAAGCACACAGTGAATATTAAAAAAAAAAAAATATGAAACCCATTTTTTGTAGCTTCTAAAAAGCTGCAAATAGGTTGATTGAAAAAAAAAAAACAAAAAAAAACAAGGTTGCACAGAGAACCGGAAGCATTCTGTGCATTCACTGCGCATGGCGTCGTATCGCGCATCGTGGCTAGATAAGAGACGGAAAAATTGCGCGGGCGCCTTACCGCAACCGCTAGCCTTGTACCTGCTCCACGAGTGGTAACTTTAGCGCACTACTACGCTTCTCAGGCGCTGAAAGGCTTTCTGAAAATGACTGATTTCGTGGTTTTCGATGACGCTCAACAAGTTTCGAATTGGAACTACATCTCTATTTTCATACTTAAAAAGTAAATTAACAAATTTTAACTAATTAGCCGACTGCTCCTCGCCGTATAACTCACCTGCGCAGAATGCATTAATCTAGCTTTCATTTTATTATTATTATTCTGTTTAGCAAAAAGAAAAAAAAAACGCTATTATTTTTATTGTCGGATTAGAGTGCAACGCGCTCTCACACATCCACGAGTGCACATGAAAGAGGGTAATTCTATATAAGATTTGTTATAGTTACATTTTGATTTTGAACAGCCTCTATCAGCTGTAAATTTACATGCCTATCTCCTCGACGGCGTTGATATTTTTTTATAGTTTTAAAAACTTTTCAGAGCCCTATATAATATATCTCCGCAATAGAAAAAAAATAAAGACATTTTCACCACCCCTTTTGCGAGAGAAAATTGCACACCAACCACTTGACAAATTGAGCTCAACGAGCCTCAACACTTTCTCCCTAAACCTCTGTAATATCGGTAATACCAGAAACGAAGAGCAGTGTGAAAACATCTTTAGTTCAGAAAAAAAAAAGCAAAAGAAATTGGGGAGGAAAGAAGGTGTTTATCCCAATTCCAGGATTCCACTGGCCTCCAACGCCGCAATGGCCCTCTGTCAGGGCCGGATTACGGGCTAAGGGGGCTGCAGCCCAGGGCCCCCGACTCTCTGGGGACCCCCATGACGGAAGCTCCTACAAAAAAATAAAAAAAATAAACCTAAAAATATTTTGGAAAGCGGTGTTGCTTTGCCGCAGCATCCGAGAAAAATGATATACAAAGATAATGGCGATGTCAACAAGGCCAAACGCGCACTTCGCGTAGCACACTCCTATCCCTGTACAAAGCCGGCCCTTTGGGTGGGTGACCGGCCCCTTTGGGTGCTTGTCCGCTTTCTTTTGAAAGCGGCTTCGAGTAAACGAAGAAAACACGCGAGAGGCCCCACAATCTGGGGTTTCTCGCTCCTCTTTTTTTTTTTTTTTTTTTTTTTGTCAGGAAGGGAAATGGCATTAACACCTCCCCCTTCACCCTACTCGGGCTCGTGTCTCGTGCGCGCAAACACGTGTTTTTGAGCAGCGCTTACACTTTGAAAGCGCGGCCTTCGACGCTGATGGGGAAGGGAACAAAGCTGCATGACGCCTACGCGGTGGTCTTGCCGGAGGTCTCCTTAGTGTAAACCAGACGGGAATGGTAATTTTTTTTTTTTTTTTGTATTTTGTAGTTTGAGGTTACTTCATTATTGATTAAAAAATAAAGGAAACTGCAGTATTTCCCAGGCTCATTGCCTTAAAGGCCGGCCCGCAAGCAGAGAGAAGGAACCCGACCCTCACTTTCCTTCTCGCCACTGTGAAAGGAGGAAATCGCCTCTCGTTTCCTCCTCGCCATTTTCCATTTTTTTTTTTTTTTTTTTTTTGCTAACTGCTTTTTTTTTTTTTTTTTGGACAAGTTTGGGGTGGAGGAAATGAAAGCTTCAAGGATTTGAAAAGATTATCCAGAAGCCAGCCGGCACACCTGCGACAAGGAGCTGAACCAACCGAGTAGCTGTTTTGAGCGAGCTTGGCACTTGCTCTTCCCAACGAGTTGCATTGGCTCTTTTTTTAGCATTGGTTTGGAGGACTATTCTTGCTGGTTGTGAGAGCACAAATACCTCGTTCTGCTCAAAGAAGTAGTCATTAAAGTATCAATTTTAATATAAATATCTGATTTGGCATCTTTCGTTGTCGGATTCATGGCGACAACGGGAATTACGAGTGGCGTTTTCTGTATATCAGGGATGGCGCTCCATAGTCAATTGGTTCTGAATCATTATGGTTCGTAAACCGCCAGAGGTGACGGAGGACCCCATCCGTAGTGGGTCTAGCACTTTTCGGCGTGGAGCGTTTTGCTGTAGGGTATTTCGGTGCGGACGTTTTGGTGCACAGACGTTTCAGTGTACGGACTTTTTGCTGCAAAGACTTTTTGGTGTGAGTCTTTTCGGTGCGCGGCTATTTCGGTGCACGGACATTTTGATGCATGGACATTCGACGCTATGGTTTGCTAGCCGGTATCTCTTTTCCCAACGTACGCAGACACGCTTCACATCGTGTTTGCGCGTTGAGTTGATAGAGATAGTCTCCTCTATAAGGTTTTGGCTTTATTATTGGTCATACGTGTAGGAAAGGACCCAAACAGCAAGACTTTCGAGGCTGTTTGTGTATTCAGAACAATTTTGAATATCTTCAAATGCGCCGCCTCCGCGTAATCGCACAGCTCCGATTGTTAATAATAAATTGTGATGACCTCGCACGACAAAAAAACAATGTAATTATCACTTGTAACTCATTAGGGAATAAAGGAGGCATGTACGGGTACAAGATAAGTGTAATAAAATCAAATATCGATTTGATTCAAGTAAAACAAGTCGAATTTGGTTAATGCTAAATCTATTTTATTTGGTATCAAATGTTTGCTCATTCTCGTACGAGAAAAAAAAACAGTGACCACAGATCATACACAGCGTGTGATCTGTGGTCAACGTCTCCTTCCATGCCGTAATGATGTCGCCGGACGTAAAGAACTGCCTTACAATCGTGCTTATGCAGGGAGATTTTTTTTTTAACGACTAGGCATTTTTCTACAAAAGACGTTCGAGTTACGCAATTTCGGTTTGTGTCTTATCTGTAGTCATCAAAAACACCAAATCATTCATTCTTAAAGAGATGTAGTGGACGTGAAGTGGCTCACGGCGTCCTAAAAAGCCTAATTTGGACGCGAATCGTGTTACCGCAATCTTTTCGGCCACCCCACTCCTCGCCCCTTCTACAGCGGCGTTGTCACAGCGATGCGCATGATTTGTCGTTTTGGCTTCATGGCGTTAGGCTGCGCCACGCGGAGATGGAGCCCACATAAAATCAGAACTATATTTTCGCGCCCAAATTAGGAGGACGCCGTATCAAGACGCCGTATAATAGTGTATGCGCGTTACATCTTTTTAAGAATGGACGGTTTGGTTGCTCGCGATTACGGCCAACAACTTTCTAAATACACGATGTCGTTTTTCTTTTCTAACTAAAAGGTTAATTATCGAATTTTAGGCAATCGGTCGGTTTTAGTTGCGTTCTTTCTTGAACCCAATCCTCGCGTGGCCGTATAGCTCACCTACACAAATCGCAATGGCGCTAATTTTCACTGGACAATTTGGTGGCTTTTGATTATGCCCAACAACTTTAAAAATCAACTATCCCGTTTTCTTTTATAATCAAAAAGTTAATTAACAAATGCTAGGTAACCAGTCGGTTTTTGTTGGGTTCTTTCTTCAACCCAATCTTCACCTGGCCGTATAGCTCACATCCACAAAACGTTAATTTGCACGTTTTTTCTAATATCTAGTAGGTGAAAAAAATAAAATAAAACCAACGCTGTATATAAAACAGAGGGCAGTTCTTTTCTGATATAAATAAAGCGTGAGGCACGCGTCTTGCACGCATCTCTTTTTTTTTTTTTTTCCGGCCTATAAAAACAAATTTCTGGACATTCGAAATTGAGTTTATGATGGGGCGGGCGCTTTATCACAAGGCATTTTGTCATGTTTCATAAGCTTTGTTACAGGTCAGAAGGAAGCCACGCGAGCCGTATCACGTTGCAAACAGCTAATTCGGGTGTTTCACAAAGAGCTCTAGAACTTTCCAATTGACATAATACATTTAATACATTTAAAAAAGTTTGGTACTTAGTAATAAACATTTAATTTATGAGGCATAATTAAAAATACTGCAACTCTCGCAAGACGTTTGCCCAAGACATAAAGTTGGTTTCATTGGCGTAAAGTGGCTGCGCTCTAATTTCGCGTTACAGCGATTTATAAGCGTCTTTCATTTTTATGCTTGGTTTTTAAAGATTCGTGAAAAGCATTCGCGAACTTATCTGTCAAGCCGCGTACGCGGACAGCGCGGCCTCCTCGGCAAGTTGTTCCCTCATCGAAGACAACAATGAATAAAAGGTACGATCAAAGTCTTAATTCCTGAAGAAAGCGCAAGTTTAAAATAATTCTAAGAGCGTCAGTTGATTTTATTTCTACTATATTCAAATTTCAACACTCGTCGCAGGCAGCATGAAAGGAAGCACTGCACTCTTGGCGCAAACCAGTGCCCAGTCAACGGTCCTACACTCAAACA